TAAAAACCTATATATTCTTATGAAACGAAAAAGAAATGCGTATAATAAAATAAGAAGCCATGATATTAATAAAAGTATACACATGTAATAATAATAATTTAAGTACGTATGGCGTACGTCGCGGCTGCGGGCCCCTTACAATGAGTGATCTCTTCCATTCTTTTTGGTAGATTATTTTCGGTAAGTGTCATTGACTTCGTGACTTCGGTTCGGTTATATGAAATTATAACACGAATACTTATATCTTCAATCGAAAAACATTTGATTACTCAATTTATTTATTATTTGACAGATGATAATGTACATTATAGTCTGTCCTGTTCTAGCGCGTAAAAATGCTAATAAACGCGGCATCTTAAACAACATATAAATGTTAACGCAAATATAAACATGAGATATCTCAAGAAATTCAAACTTTATCGATAAACATAACATTAAACAAAATTAAAAAAGCATTCCCTTGATTTCGGGCAATCAATAAAATATAATAAAAGCAATGTAAATGTTAAATTCGGGGTCGAAACCCTGTAATTGATGCATTTCTTGTAACGATTTAATGAACACACGCACACTAGCACAGACGCGCACACATCGACGCGCGTACAGATTTCTTTGTCTCGGAACAAAGAACGATTCGCCACTGATACGGAGTTAACAAGAAAAGAGTATTTAATGGAAAACTGTTTATATTCATCGCTCAAATAATACTTGATAAGAATTAACAAGTACAGGTAATATAAATCATTGTTATAATGGTAAGCAATGTATTAAATAATATAATTTTAGAATACGTATTACTTATAACATACTAGGTATCGAATGAATTTTTAATGTGTTCAATATATTATATTTTCGTGTAACTTTATATAAAGTAATACACACATACAATTGCCAAATAATATATGTAAGCAACTTTAATTAGTATTTCGAAGCTCCTACTTTTAACAACGTTTAGGATTTTTAAATCTTTATCTACATTATCCTATATACCTTAATTCTTAAAACATTTCGAAAAACAATATTTATCGCTTATTGTAGTCAGATTCAACGTTAAAAGGATTATAATAAATTGTCATTATCTGTCCAGTTAAAACACGATAGTCTAAAAGCAAGTAAACAATGGAAGAAAGTGTGTCAGAAAGGACAGGCCTTCTGCGGCAGCGTTGTGAAATCTATAGAAAGCGATATCTGTTTACAAAAACCAAAAAGGTTTGTTTTGTATACGTTTAGGAGGGTTATTTTTTTTTTAAACCCTGTCAGCGAAGACATGTAATGGGTTCGTTCTACACAGCTTGACTTTCACCTGAATTATATAAGTTATTACAAATTGTTATTGTAATATATTGCGTTTAGTTTACTTTACAAAGTCTATTATGTTTATAATGTAGGTAGCCATCAATTAGAAATATTAATTTTATATCGGAGACTGGCGCGTGCGGTTTTGGATGACAGCCATTGGTTTTTGAACGTTATATATCGATATGACGTCTTTAATTACTAGCTTCAATACAAAATGGAGCGGATATGTTAAAATAATATTTGAATGTAAACTAGAAATACTTTAATATTTTCTTATCCATAATAACTCTGGTTTTTGTTTTAGTTTTATTGCGTTAAAAACACAATTGAAACAAGTAAAAAACACGTCAAGTACGTCAATAGTTTAAATTTCTGAAAGGTCAATCTAAATATTCTATTCAAATACAGACTCATTAATTCATCCATCGTTCATTGATTGTTTTTTTATATATAACTTAAAATATTATTATTAAAATAAAACATATATTCAATTAATGTAAACACTAACGCTTCTTTCAACGGCTCGCTTCTTAGTTTTTGTTCTCTGTGGCAGGATTATTATTTTTTGTGTCCATGAGTCACGGCTAGGAGACCGCACACAGTCGGCTCCTTGGAATCATTCCAATACACCAAAAATATATCTATTATTATTTCAATACTTTTTTTACAATATTATATAGTGTTCTGTGAAACTTTTTTTTAATGTACACTTTTCATTTTGTGTTCCATGGCCTCGTTTGAAATTAAAAAAAAACATCTGTCAACATGCAACTAAACAAAATCAGAAAATTTCAAGGAATCAAAACAATGTTATGTGAACGGCGATGAAATAAATATGAATAATTTAAATATGAGATTATTATTATTTTATATCAGTATATCGGTTCATTGTTTTTGTTACATGAATATGTTTTACTAACATAGAAATGTAGTTTATGAATAAACTATCAACACATAATGTTTGTAAATACTCTCCAATGAACAATGCGTAGGTGGCTCCACATTGACCGATATTCAGACGTTATTTAATATTTACTTATTTCATACTAATGCTGTAGATTAAATATTTTTCAATGCTAGAATTCAATGCATATATTTCTTACTTTGTAGTCAACCTTTGAACTTTGCAAGATTCGTTTTTTTTATCCTTACAATGTTGTAACAAAACTTTATTTCATAAATAGTAAACAAATAAATATTACGATGTACTCCAGTAATATACATTACAATACATAAAAATCAAAATGTATTGTGAATCTTCTATATATATAAAAATGGATTGCTGTTCCTTAGTCTCGCTAAAACTCGAGAACAGCTGAACGGATTTATCTTATCTTAGTCTTGAAATGTTCGTGGAGGTTCAGGGAAGGTATAAAAGCTGAAAAAAATTGATTCATTACTAGGAAAACCATCAAAACAGCCCTTTTCTATTTCCCATACAAACGGTTTTTTTTTGACATTAGATTTGACAACTAACTAATATGTCAATCATTCTGTCGCACTTCAAAACACGGAGATTTATGGCTTTCAGGTAAACTCCAAAAATATAAATAAAAAAACGTAATAGATATTTCTTGATTATAGGGCGATACGAAGTTCGCCAGGTCTTCTAGTTAATAATATATAATCTGTATATGAGATGTATAATGGTTAATGACTGAATCTTTACTTGCAATGTATAATATCAAAATGTAATAATGGCTGAAAAATATTCGTTTTATGACTAGAAGTTTTAATTAATTTGACTATAAAATTTAAGCAATTGCAACCAATCTCACCTATCTATTAAATCATTTTCAGTTTTCGGCGGAGTTACGTTAACCGTTTCTCAGTATAAACTGTTGTGAATAAAGACTATGTCCGAAAAATTATCCATAGTAAAAAAAATTAAACAAACAAAAAGTACATATATAGGCACTATGGTTTAGATCGCAGCCTGTCGTCAAGGAAACAAAAAAAGGGGTAAAACAAAATGGCTATTGAATCACCTTATGATTGGTTCCGTAATAATCATATTGTATAATCAACATCATTCTGATATAAGTATGTTATCAGTGTTAATTCCGGTCTAGTTTATACTTGTCTATATCTTGAATGGACTTGATAGACCGATATAGCCATTAATTTGTATAAAAATCAACAATTCACGAATTATTCGAATGTATGCAAAAGGAAAGTTCTCGGAGAAGGAAAAGGAATGATAAATACATTTAGTATCATGACGATTAAATAAATGAAAAAAGTTATAAATGGTATAATAATCTTCATAATTTATTTTCTTTCCATCCATTTTTATCATACAATACGTATTTTGTATAAAACAATATTCTTTGTTAAATTCATAAAAATATATTATTTTAGTATAACTGATTTTATCTTAATAAACTTACAAATTATTGTTAACATTCTGAAGAATCATTTTGTATAAAAATAATACAAAAAAGGTAAGACTCGCCGTCCTCAAACTATATATTATATTTGAAACACATAACCTTCGTAACACTACACAGTACACATCTCTCAACTTATTAAACCTCAAACGTGGCCGGCGAGCCCCCTCCTATATTCTATAACAATTCAACTTGTTAATTGGTATAATATTTCTTACAATAACCTATAGAAGACGTCGGTACAGAACAATTTTACTGTAGCACATTTAATGGTAACAAAAAACAATAAAAACAGGCTTCCGTTTACAAAGCGTAGGCACTCGAGATTGCTACTTCATATTAATTAAACATTCTCACTAATAAATACATCTCACATTCATTTCGGTAATGATCGTTCACGCTTCACAGTTCACACTTCACACACAGTCGGACGGCCTCTCCTTACAAGACCTCACAACAGCACCGGGTCAGTTAAGGCTAACAAACTGATGCATCTAACTTCTAGAACCATCCTCTCAGCTCCACTCAACTCTCAAGGCACTGTCTCTCTGTCAGTCTTTCACACAAGCCGTGTATCGAACGACGGATAGGCGCCGGTTATGAAAAAAGTTAACCTTGTGTAACAAAACGTGATTCGGAACGTCTGATCCGAACACATGGCGGCCATTCCGCGAGGGCGGCGCAGGCGGAATTTTAATTAACAGAACATCCGCTCGTCACTTGTGTTGCGCCGTTGCCAGCTCAATTATTTCCGTCTCCCTTTAACACTCGTCCTTACACTTGCGTCGGTCTCGATTTCGGCTTTGGTACATACTATTACTATAAAAATATACATAATTTTGCCTTTTTAAGAATTACATTGCAAATGAACAATGCAAACACAAATAAAGCCGAACGGCAACGTCGCTGGAACGGGAAATACGCCTCTGAACTGGCAACGTCGCTTCACCTCGCCTCAGTCTACAGTCCAATGACGTTGCACGATTATCCTTTCTAGTTTCTATACTATTCTAAATGAGACAACGCAATACTGATACAAGGAAAATCATAACTGCGACTTACGACGTACGCTAATCTCGTGACTCGATAAGTACATCCATTCGCTTAAAGCCGACCACCGAGCGGCGAGTACCGTCAGCCGAGCGGAGGTCCGTTCCCTCTGGTCGACACACATCATCCTCTTAACTCATTAAACACTAATGTTAACTATATATTACACGATAAAATTAAGATCACAAATCGCTTTGTATGCTGCGTCCTAGCGGGCGCGACTAGCATGGAATGTGGGAGGCGTCGTCGGCGGCGGCGCGATCAGAAGTGCGTGTCGATGTGGCAGCCGCTGTTGGCGTGCTCCAGCACCTGCTGCTTCAGTCGCGACACGTGGTCCTTCAGCTTCACCACCATCTGCGCCAGCTCCACATTCTCGCCCTTCAACAGCTTCACCTTCTCTTCCAGTTTAGAGATACGTTCCAGCTTTCGCCGTCTGCACTTGGAAGCCGCCACTCGGTTCCTCTGCCTCTTCCGTTCTAGTTTGATCCTCTCCTGCGTGTCCATGTCGATGGGTGAGAGCGGCGGCGAGCTGGAGGCGCTGGGCACCGTCTGCGGCTCGTCTTTGACGACGGGCGTGGGATATCGGTCTAGCGGGCGATCTAAGTCTGCGTAGACGCGCCTCGCGTGCGGCGGGGGCTCATTGTGGTGCAGCTTGTCCAACGCCTCGACGAATGGGCGCGCGTATAGCTCCTGCTCCTCCGTAGGGGCCACGGCGGGGAACAGCACGGCCCCGCCGGGGGTCGGCGTGGCTGTCGTTATCATGCCGTTCTGCATGATTAGCTTCTCCAGCTCCGGCGAGCCCAACTTTAGAAGTTGCAGGTCGGGTGAAGACAGGACAGGTGCACCTCCTCGCGATCTCTTCCCGCCCCTACCGAAATCCAAGTCCAATGTCAAAGTCCGCTTCAAACTATCCACGGGACCGCTCAGGGGATATTGTTCGTCATAAAAAGTGGTCTCCATCCCGTGGCCGGATTGGCGAACCATGTGTTAGCACCGAATTCTCCGGTATCACTGAACTCACTTCACGAAGAAAACTTTTGTCATGCGGCAACGCACAACCACCGACGACAACGTTCCACTTGTTTCTAAACATTGTTAAGAAACAACCACTGCTTTTATTCCATGACTCAGATAAGCTATTTTTAGACGTCGCGTGATGGACTCGGACACTGATTGGTCGACAATGACGTGATATGACGCGACATTCGAACGCTATTGGTTGATATGATTGTAATGAAACGCGAGGCCGCAGCGGGCTGTTTACGACTTCGTGCGATTACCGAGAATCGAGAAACTCATATCCATTGTACAAACGATAACGGAAAATGGCCGAATGAAGGGTGGTCATTTACATTTTTATTAAAAAAAATATCCAAAATAACGTCAATAGTTCCACAATTACATTATCAGTACGTTTAATCAGTAATCAATATATTTAAATGCATAAAACAAAAATCTATTATTTTTAATTACAATTAAAGTAACTTTAAAAAAGTTTTCTTTATTTCAATTAATAATAAAAAAAAGGTTTATTGTTTTCGTACTGTAATGGAAACGCTATTTAGCGGGGCCGAGGTAGGGCGGGGCGACCGCACCTAAAGAAAATATATGCTCGGGAGTGCGGCGAGAGGGGGAGGGGAAATGCTAACACTTTACGAGAGAAAAGGATAGCGCTATATTGCCGTTCCAATAACAAAGCGGCCAAAATACTTAAAAAGAAAAATATAAACTTTATATCCATTATACTTTACATAATGATTACTCTGAAAATATCGAAACATAAATCTATACTCATATTTTATTGCTAATCTATTATAATTTTTATAACTTCATACAATTTTTATAATATTTATTATTTTTAAATCAAAGTTAAAAAGAGATATTAATGGTAATAATATATTAAGAAACGTCTCCTTCACTAAAATTTTTGTTTTGAATATTTAAATAACGGGTTGTTCAAAATTGTAAAAGTTTAACAAAGGATCGTATTGAACCCGGTGCGGCCATCTAAGGTCTTTCAACAATATTTCCTACTCGCCACTAGAGGGGGTTATTTTAACTTCCTATTATAATCTTCTCATCTATAGATGGCGTTATCTTTAAATTTTTCCTTTTTACGGCAAATCACTTAATTCCGCCTTGAACTCTTTAATTTTTAATAATAATAAGAATCATTGTTATAACAAAACGCTGAAGTTATTATTACCAGTGTCTATTTACTTTTGGTTTATAAATGAAAGGATATTTTTAAATCATCATTTAATATTTACAGTACATATGTATATTAATCATAATTATTATTTGACAGTAACAGATATAACTCTGACGTCGTCGTAAGGTTTGTCTGTCTTGGGGTTTGTTTTGACGCTTCCGATGTTCTGAACAACTTCCATGCCGCGGACAACTCGACCGAATACAGTGTGCTTGTTGTCTAGCCACGGCTGTTAACAAAAAAAAAACACATATTACATATACATATTGACATAGTTTCAGACTTGATTATCAATATTCAGCGTTACTTCCAGTAATAGTATGTTGACATGACAAATTACATTTCAGGATTATAATTAATTATAATCAGTCATGAAAATAATTCTAAGGAATATTATATCAGAATTAGTACGACACGGACGGGGTCAACTTTAACAATATGTATGTACATATATATAATTGAGGAGGTAGGGATGTTTGTAAATGCGTCATGTAAAACATAATAAACAGATTTTAATGAAGCCTCTCATTTAAGGAGCTTAAATATGCGAATAAAACATTATATTCCATAACTCCGCGTGTCTCCAAAGTTTCAAGTCACAACTATTGTATTTTGTATGACACCACGTGTCGTTTAACTGATTACCATATCTATTCATTTAACTTTGAGACCAGTATAGAAATTAGAAAGAAAATAGAAATAGTCATTACGATTTATATTAGAAGTATGTATACTCAGAAGTGATATTAAAAGGATTTTAAAGCCATTGTTAAAACAGCTTATACATATAATATCGTCAGGGATAGTGCAAATCCACGTAACTATCATTGGATAATTCCTCGTATCTACATTGGAAGCAGATTATCAGAAGAAATTTTGTGCTGAAGTATTTTCTATATTAACGACTTTAAAGGTATTTTTTTCACAATTAGCCATTATTTAGTGTTTAATTTATTACTAATTGTGAAAAATTTGCCTTGAACGTTATTACGCGGATTTGCACTATCCCCGACGAAACATATTATTGTTGTTTAAATGAAACTAATATTTTCGGATTTTACTTCGCGTTTTATTATAACCGTGATCCACGGGTGCTGAAAAGTAGCCGAAACGTCGGGAGTATGTAGTTTATAATCAAAAATAAAACGCGAAGTAAAATCCGAAAATAATATTGAAACTAAATGAGTACTCGCGAAAATCTTAGATCTCATTATATTATTGTTATTGTATTTGTTGTATACTGACAGTGGGTGCGAGTGTGATGAAGAACTGGCTGCCGTTAGTGTTGGGTCCCGCGTTCGCCATACTGACGGTGTATGGTCGGTCGTGTTTTAACTGCGGCTTGAATTCATCCGCGAATTCCCCACCCCAAATGCTTTCCCCGCCGGTACCGGTACCTGCAACACAATACATTTTATATAATTTATATTCATAAATAGCAGAAGAAATGGTTTATATGGTAACATTCACTAGCATGTTACGAACGCGCTATATGAAGAATAAAAATGAACATCGCCGGAGCGATATTTTTGTATCGGTAAAATATATAACGAGTGACGCCGCTGACTACGCGGAATCAACACCAAACTGTGTGAACCAGAAGATTCCACATACCACACAAGCCATTAAATGGTGTTGCTATCCTAACATGGGGGCTGATGTAGTCTTAGGTGTAGTTTTAATATGTAATTCATATTTTAATATACATATAAGTACGATTCGTAGTTTTCCTGGAACCTCCGGTTGCCACCCTATATACTAAGCAGGCTTCATATGTTATGAAAATAAATAGATTTTTACTATGGAAAACTCTGAATATTTGCTTTTCTGTATTAACAAAATGACTAAATTTATTAAACATTTGTGTGAATGCTCTGTTTGGTCATGTGTATATACAGGGTGACTGGTGAATTACTATCGATATTTGAGGACGTGATATTTGACGATCATATATGACAAAATAAAAATTAATATAACATAAATATTAATAAACTTCTAAGTAAAGTTAACCAAAAGTTATGTAATTAATTACGCATCGTATGAACACCCTACAGATTAGGTATACACACACACACACACACTCGCGCGCGGCGGCGTGTTGTTGTATCAGCACGCCGCCGCACGCGTCCACACGTGGAACACTTGGAACGTGTACACACTTTATTTATTTATACGGAAATTTGGTCAAAAATTAAGTACCTATTTTTTTTACATAATTCGAATGAGAATCATGTACCGAGTATGCTCCTTAAATATTGATAGTAATTCACCAGTCACCCTGTATATGTTTATTTGTATATATATGGAGTTACCAGTGGGATCCCCCGTCTGCACCATGAATCCCTTAATAACTCTATGGAAGATGTGTCCGTTGAAGTATCCGTTCCTCGCGTGGCCACAGAAGTTCTCCACTGTTTTAGGCACGTCTTTACCGAACAGACGGATGTGGACGTCGCCTAGAGACGTGTGGAGGATGGCCTGCTCGTACAGACGCTGGACGCCTGGAAATATATACAGGGTGCTCTTAAAATATACATAGCTAATAATATTATAAATGCGAAAGTAACTCTGTCTATCTGTCTGTCTGTTACGCTTTCACGTCTAAGCCACTGAACTGATTTTAATGACATTTGGTACAGAGATGGAGTTGACCTTGAGAATAAACATAGGATAGTTTTTATCTCAGACTTTTGGAAGGTTCTCTTGGAAACGCGATATAACCGAACTCCACGAGGGCGAAGCTGCGGGCGGAAAGCTAGTAATAAAGAAAGTAACTTTGTCTGTCTATCTGTTACGCTTTCACGACTATACCACTGAACTGATTTTAATGAAATTTGGTACAGAGATAGAGTTAACCTTGAGAAAGAACATAGGATAGTTTTTATCTCAGACTGTTGAAAGGTTCTCTTGGAAACGCGATATAACCGAACTCCGCGCTGGCGAAGCTGCGGGCGGAAAGCTAATGTTACATATGAAGTATTGCTAAAATATACATACATACTTGTTATACATATATACTACTAGCTAGTTTAAAAGCGGTAGCCATTGCGTTGCGATAACTTACAAGTATACTGTCAATAATATTTATCATTTGAAAATTTTGTGTATTAATAATTTATCGATGGATTATTTTTGCTTTTTATTAAACAGTGCTGTTAAATTCTGTTTCTTATGATACATACAATTGGTGTTGTTATTGAAACAATGGTATTATAAATAACTACCAGTGTCTCTATGTTTAATATAATTTTACATTTACCAAAGTTAATATAGCTTATAGTTTTATAATATAAAAGCGTGTCTACACTGATAATTCTTCATAGATCACCTCACAGTATCACTGTAGTCGTGTACTCACCTTGTCCTTCAGTAGCTGATATGATATCTTCCTTAGAAGGTTTCTCATTGAACACATCTCTGTCAGCCTCTGTGTGTAAATCATCAGGACCTCGTCTAGAGAACATATAGAATCTATTCTTCTTGTAGCCCGTACAGAACAATGTTGGGTCAGTCTTCACACTCAGCAGCGTTGGGTTCTCCGAGCCTTCCATTTCCAACGTGGCTGCAACTTTCGGTTGATTTGTGCGACCCTGTTGAGGAAAGGATATATATATATGGTGTATGTTGGGTATATATTCATTATCATTGTATATGTTAAGTAATTTCTATATGTTATTAATGTTTGACTATCTTTTAATTACAAAATTAATGTTATTAAGCAACAAAACTAATTATAAATAGTACTTGTTCTGTCTGTCTTAGGTAGGCTCTAGATTTATATCAAACTGTTATTTTGCCTTTTCCCTCCCTTTCCTGCTATTTCAAAATTCCCACTCCTACCTTTTCCTCAATAATGAAGGTTGGCAACGCATCCATTACATCTATGTTGCGGATGTCCATAGCGACGGTAACTACTGCCTATCTAGTAGGCAATCTTTTGACTTGAAAAAAAATGTTGAGGATCTCTGTATACCTGGAACAGTGCTAACTGCAGCGGTCGCAGATTCTCGGGCTTGGCCAGCATTGACACACAGCGGTTGGTTGTGAGGTTGACAACCTTCACTCCCAGCATCGTCGCGTACAGTATGAAGTGACCGCTCACATCAAACACTATGTTTGCCAGCTGACTGTACTCGGATTTATCCAGGTCACGCTCTGTTGCCATCCTGAGAATAATATATGATATAGAAGTTAGTTACTAGAATGAATTTCATTGATTAAAAATATAGACATGTTATTATGTGAATGTCGTTTGGTATATTTCATTTAAAACAGTAAGAAATGTCTATAGAAGAATATTTAACATGTATAATAATAAGAGAATTCTAAATAAATCTACATAAATGTGATAAGAGAAGACAACAGTTGAGACTTTGATGTTATCATATTATGTTATTAAATTTTCATTTATATTAGATGTCGATATTTAATTGTATGCTGTGTATCAATTCTCACAAATAATTGTTGTATTTAACATTAAATATTAATAAAACAACAATATTTATAACAAATGATTTGGCTATTCATAGAATTACTTAGTTTTATCTCAGTCTTAGTGACATGTAAATGTTTAAAAACATGATTATAATGAACCTTCTTCCAAACTCCATGTTTGGTAATTGTTGTGTCTGATGCTGTAGTTCTTGGAAGCGCTGCAGGCTCTCATCCAATACTTTGTGCAACTTCCCCGTCAAGAAATGGAATACTCTCACCTGTAATATGAACATCCTGTATAGGTATTATAGCTAGTATAGCTATACATATATTTAGTATAGTATATATAGTATTATATAGTATATAGGTAGTATAGCTATACATATATTTGTTAAAATTAATTTGTAAAATTCATTCTTTCTTTAGTTCATTTTCATTCATTTATTCTTTATTCACCTTTCTGTCTAAACTGATAGCTGCTATTTTCCTGCCATCAGGTGAAAAATCCAGAGCCGTCGGATAAGTTTTGTTTTTGACAAAATCAAATAAATCTGTGTCCAATTTGGATGTGAATTTCACATTTTTTGGGTATTGGTATTCATGTTTGGGCCCGGTCCAGTACTCCACTATGCCGGCCTTGTCAACGGACACCGCTACTTCAAACACAGGGTTGTACTTGATAGTCGCCACTTCCTTTTGGTGTTTCTCAAATGTATGGAGCGGCGTCCCTGAGGCCTGCGTGCCGTCGAATATGTGAATTTTGTTACTGCCTTTTTCTGATCTGAAAAAAGATAGATAAATTAAATACTTAAACGTCGCTGAAAAAGAGTGGTATATGAAATATGTTTCCATATTAAATTCAAAATTAGCAGTTCATTTAATAAACAAACTAAGATATAGAGAGTCAAACTTAATTATTAATTTAACTTGTTTTATTTTACAAAATTTCAATAAGTTTTACATCTTAACTGTTTTGATCTTTCTACTTTTGTTTCTGATAATTCACATCAATTGAAACTCTTGAATAAGTTTTGCTCAAGTATAAGAAAGATATTGATGTTAAGACTGTCATCTTTGAATAACATGAACTTAGAAGCTTGCTTTATACTCTAGAACAAAATTAACAAGAAGTTATTAAGATTTTGACAAGAAAGACATGTTGATAGATAGACAAAAAAGATAATGCATAGTTTTTGTCGAATGAGGAACCCTGAAACTATTTCTAAGACACTGTAAATATCTGATACTCACATGGCCAATGCTGATATAGGATCTCCTGCTGAATGAACCCACTCAGTACAGTACGGCTCAAACTCTATAGATATCATGTTTATCATGTCTGGAATTTAAATTATATAATTATTAGTATATTTTAACAAATTGTTAATTTAGCTATAAACATAGGAGGATATAAGAGGATGTATTAATAAGTATCAAATTACACCTAAATCATGGTATAACATATAATTATAGATATTTAATATAAATATAGAAGATTCTGGAATTACCGAAATTGACAACATCAAACACTTTAATAGTCTTCTCAGTAGAGGCGGTACACAACAGTGTGCCGGTACTGTTGGTCGCCACATGGCTGATGGGAGCCAGGTGGCAGCGGAAATGCTTCACAAACTCTATGCCTTCCTCCTGTTGTATTACAATAATATATTATTAATATATATACTACCATAGAATAGTTTCTATTTATATTTGGGAAACATACAGTGTGTTATTACATAGAATTAAGGAATTATTTCTTAATCATAAACCAATAAAGTTTCCACTTAAAAATAGTACAAATTTTAAAGAATGTGTGTAAAAAAAGACAACAGAAAGAGACAAAAATATAATCTACGAGTACAATCAAATCAACTAATTACAAAGTTTAAAAAAAACCCACAATTTACATAAATTAAATTTACATGGATAAAACTGAATTTGTAAATTTGGAAAACCTTACAATTAAGACAATGCCTAATAGTCTAAGTAAAGCAACCAAAACTATGAAGTAACTTAAAGCTAAAATGTACTAGCCTGTTTTTTCCAAAACTTCAAATGTCCATCCTGGCTGGCCGTTATCACAAAATCAGTTTTCGTAACAACTACATGTGTCACAACATCTCTGTGCATGTAGCTTCGTTCATACGTCTCAGATGACGGTAGATTTTCTAGATACAGGGATTCAAACTCAAGAACTATGAACAAAACAAAAATTTTATAAGTTAAAAGAATAGCCTGTATAATTTAATAGAGAAAATATATATTATATTTAAGTTACTTTTTCTTTTCTTTGCTTTAGGCTCAGCTTCTATTGTCGCGGCTTCGGATGGCAAAGGACCAATCCATCCTTCCCCATCATCAGATTCCTCTCTCAATGTGTTAGGTTTTTCTTCCGACATTATTTGGATAAAATACAATTACATGCAAAATTCTTGGTTTTTATCATTTAACAGATATTTAATTACTTTAAGATGTATGCGTGAATTAAACTTAATAACATGTAAAATGTAGGGAGTATGAGTACAAATAACAGCTAAATAAATTCGTGAATGGTGTATAAAGGTATGTTTCTGAACGTGAATAATATTCAATAATATCGTAAAAACTATTAAACCTAAATAAGATATCTTGTAAGGTTTAGGTTTTTACATTTCAAAACAGTTTCAGTCATCAGCTCTGATAGCGAAAACTAATTAGTGATGTATTTTTCCGAGATATACGATTCAAGTTGTCATATGCAACTAAGTCGAATTGAAATCGCGAAGATCGTATATATTTTATATCGGTTTTTTATTTATTTTAGGATTAAAATATATTTATACATATAAATAAGTATTTCAATAAATAAAATTATAAACATATTTACAAATAATTTTAAAATACCATATAAACTGTTATATAAAAAAATATCAATTAAAGATTTAAATTGATATTTACGGCACACAAGTTTTTAGTTGTTATTTTAATAAAATCTGTTTAATAATTGGCTTGCCCTATTATAAACCTTAATAGAAAGTTTATACATTACGCTTATGAGATACGAGTAACTGATGCAGGAAATCAAATCAATGATTTTGTAATAAAATCGATTTTATTTTCGTTATATATCGTGACTCAAGAACCCCGAAGTTTCTGCCGTAACTTCTGGGTTGTGAGGTCCGGAAGACACTTTAGTGACCACAGACAAATTGAAAGATTGCTATCTCAAAAGTTTTCTTTACCATTTTTTAGATTAATGAACTTTTTTATGCCATAGTTTGACAACGAGAATATTGTTTACCTGATGTTTGACGGTTATAATAGTCATGAACATATCCAGGTTTAGGTCAGATATATTTACGTATTACTTATTATAGGGACTTGGGAGTCAAAGTTATCACCATCATTGAAATTACTATTATTTCTCATCTGCCTCGGTCAAGAGATGTAATAGTATATAACGTGTGTGATTTTTGTTAAATATATAGTTCAATGTTGATAAATACTAATAAAATTGGTAGAAAATGTTTGTTTTGTTCAATCTAGGCAACCAGCAAAATATTTTCTTGCAAAACGATACAAGTTATACCGGTAACTAAATGACAGAATTGAAAATCACTACTATTTATTATTTTTACGTCATTAACGATTTAAAAATAACTAACACATTTATATATTTCAATGATGTCGTTTAGTAAACAAATTTCATCATGGTAACATTATAGGAATGTGTTTAAACTTTTTTTTATTATTGTTGAGTCTATGCTCGTAATGTCTTTTACGAATTTGTAGTGATGGTGGCTGGCTTCCTTGCAAACATAGCATCATAAATTTCTACATATTTCTTAAAAATCTTAAATATTTGATCGATAAACGATCCAAATAATAGTGTATTAAGTGTTTTAGAAGTTCCACAACATAAAGGTGAGTGTAAAATTACACATAGTGGTACAAAAGGCGCGCTACCGGTACCCTACACGTGGTTTACTTATTATACCGCGTTCATAAATTCGTTAAGTGTTTGCGCACCTGCGATATAATATAATGTATGCTTCTATCAAGTTTCTATGTGAGTTTCAATACTTTATAAGTCGGCCTGATGTGTTAAGGTCGATTGATGAACGTGGTGCCACTAAACGCAGATACATCGACATACTTATACTTCAGAAAAGACAAGATGTATAAATTCATAATCTTCATCTTGATATAGTTTAGATGATGATCATTTTACAATATCCACGCTTTCTCATGCTCGATATACATAATGTTCCATGTATTCAAGTTTTCATTACTCACATGACGCATTCCGATAGTCACAAATGCATGAGAAAGTACTTTTAATTACGATGTAATGAGCGCACACAGAGTATCGATATGTGAATATCTAATATGATATTTCCATAAGCAGATGTCATTTTAACCTTGCTACAGTAATGAGTGGAATAACCTGCGTTTTTCGTTTAAAGGTTATTGTACAATGTACCTATTACTTATAACCTGTATAGTAAATGTGATAATGTTATTCAAATAGGATTTCATGATGCTTTCTGTGATTAATTATCGTCATTTTTCTATTAAAATTTATCTAATGCCAAGTAAGAGGTACATATCTGAATTTTGTTCTTTTTAATTGATAAAAATTATTCAATTATTTATGCATGTTAGATTTTTAGTAAATCTGACTTAAAATTAGTTTTAGGATTTAATAAACAGATCAAGTATTCTTATTTCATCTTATATATTAAATTATGGCTAGAGATAATATTGGCATAATACTGTTGAGTCTGTCTGTTAGATTAGCAAGTCATTGGTTTTTTTAAGAGACAAAAGTTATTTTTATTCTTCTTGTAAGTTGTGATCAAAAGATTTTGTACTGAAAGGTTATGACAGATAAAGCAATAAAATAATCAATGTTTTATTAATGTAAAATATAGACAGTTAACAACATGGGGTGAATATTAAACATTTCTACCGACTACTACAAAGAATTCTCAATATCATGAGATCACTCCTTTTGCAATACAATTTTGATTTTACAATTTGATTTACAAACTATAGATTCCAAATTTATATAATATTTTTGTCAGCATTACATTTTTAACAGTCATGAAAATAAAAATAAAAATATACACTTTCACTATTATTGTGTTACTTTCAAAACGGCTGTAAAAATATATGTTTGGTGGTCTGTGTTTTAGAAAGTGTAGTAATGGCAGCCATCTAGATATTCTCATGGAATGTAATGACATTGATAAATCAATTTGTTTATATTTCATACATTTATTTAATATTTTATATAAACTGGTAAGTCCATAAAACAACTAAGTCATAATTTTTAGTTTATCTTTAAATAAGTATACTTTTTATAATAACCAGAAATTTCAATAGTATTTAAATCATTCACTGTCCCATGTTAAAACAAGTACTTCTGAGATTTTTTCTTTATAGTAGACTATGTTTTGTAAGGTCATGTACATATTTTACTCTTTGGATAAAAATAATGATAAACAAACAAAATTGAATATTATTATTTCCATATAAGATACATTTTTATGTGTCATATATTAGCTCAAGACTGACCACATAAATTATCTTCTCAATTATATTAATTGGTTTTAAAATTTTCATTATTATTAATAGTTTTCATAATGGAAATTAAATTATTTTGTCATAAATATCTATATCTTTTATAGTATTTCTCAGCTTGACTGTTACTTAATCAAAAGTATTTTTCCATGTCACGATGTTAACATATATTTTTTATCATTTGTGTATTTCATTTAATTACTATACAGCGTTATCAATGGACTGAGTTTCTGATATCATCAAATCATGAATTGTCTATATCTGATAATTTATATATGATTGCTTAGTAATTGACCTACAGAAATAACTTTATCTGCTTTGAAATTATTAATTAATGAAAAATTAATGTAATTGAATACTAGAAAATTGATTTCTTTAACAATATTAACATTCACATAACACTTGTGATATTTTAAATGCTGTATGTAGTTAATAAAATCTGTATGTATTAGAAACCTTACTCACTAAACAATTAGTGAGGTTCATTGCGCAAGTAGCCGTGATCTTGGTAGCGTCTTTATCGGCCAGGGTCGTGCGCTACACACACACAAACACACACACACGCACATCTACACATACATGCACACATCTACATATTATATATACACATATGTACATACATACATACACACACACAATCCAACCTCTTCACACACGTGCTGTTCTCCGTTAGAGCGAACGAGACGGAGAGGACGATCACCTTTATCGTCACCAATTCTGACCTTATGACTCAGTTGTTTGAACTGATTCACAATTTTTACCCATTTAATTTATTCTTATTTTATGTATTAATTAACATATATTTTATTATTTGTTAGTATAACATAAGTCTATACGTGATATTTTATTAGTATAACTTATAAACGGAACGTTGTCATAATGGAAGTTTCATCGCTATATAGTGATCGGTGCGGTGTAGTAACGTTCTGTGGTCGATTGTTTCAGAGATGAGTTCGAGCGTATGTTATAAGTGCAACAGGAAGGGGCACTTCGCCCGCGAGTGCACGCAGGGCGGTGTCGGAGCCCTAGACGCGGGCTTCAACCGACAGCGGGAGAAGTGTTTCAAATGTAACCGCACTGGCCACTTCGCCAGGGACTGCAAGGAGGAGGCCGACCGTTGCTATAGGTAACATGCCAACGAACTCAACACACTCAACTTTTATTATCGATAATTATCGTTTATCGACATCACCACGTCACTAATGTATAAGTAATTGACGATAACCCCATATGAGGATAAAGTATTCTTTGAATTTGAGTTGTAATTAATTAAACGCCTCGAAGTAATGACGCGCCTGAATATAACAATTAGCATAAAATGGGAAAATGATTATCTCATCATCTGTTAAGGGTTGCCGTCGATGTTTCAGAACAGGATTTTCAAGTCTTAGACCGAGTGGACCCCATGATACATACCATCATTTGCCAGATATGGAATATCACAATTAACATTTTAAAATGAACCCCTTCGTTTTCCGTTCAGAACATTCCGTGTTTCGAAAGTTCACATGTCCGAAGGCTTTGAAGAAAATTATTTCAGTTAAAACTATCAAAAGAATTGATAATTTCGTTTTAAAACAGGCCTTCACTCAAAGGTCACCTCATTTTAGTATATTTGAAATAGAACTTAACCTCGAACTTAATTTCCATTCCAATTTTATTTACTCTTTAAGGTTAAGGGTCATTTTCTAACCCTAACATCACTATTTTTTTTGGTTACATCTATGGGCAACAGCTATTTAAACTATTATTGTAGAGAAAAGAATTGAATAACTTTTATAGAAAAGAATTGAATATTGCAAATATTTTTGTAAGTTGACAAAATATAAAGGAACAACAGTTTTTAACGGAAAAAATGCAATTTTTACTGAACTATGTAGTTGTAAAATATAATATGAACATAAGCTGTTTTGTAAAGCTTGTTCTCTGTGTGTGTCCAGATGTAACGGCACGGGGCACATAGCGCGGGAGTGCGCGCAGAGCCCCGACGAGCCGTCGTGCTACAACTGCAACAAGACGGGGCACATCGCGCGGAACTGCCCCGAGGGAGGGCGGGACAACTCGAACCAGACCTGCTACAACTGCAACAAGACCGGCCACATCTCGCGCAACTGTCCCGACGGCACCAAGACCTGCTACGTGTGCGGCAAGCCGGGGCACATCTCGCGCGACTGCGACGAGGCCGACAGGAACTAACCCCGGCCCTCTCCGCCCACGCACTACGACCAGATCACTATGTATATTATGATACCACGCACGGACCGTAAGCAAAGGACGCGATACGCGACACTAGACTCTAACACCGCTGGATGTATGAAATTAATGAGACAGAGTAGATGCAGCGACGGCGTTCTCGACGGAGACTGAGGACTGTTGTATTGTATTAAATGTTGACTTGTATATAGTCGCCGGCCGCGATACGTTCATGTTTGTTCTTGCACGTGAAGTTGTGTTTTGAATCATTTAAATAATCGTGATTGAACTATTGATGAGGTAGCGTTACAGTTTTTAGCATTACAGAGTATATATTTAATATATTTTGTACAGATTTATTTGTCAAAAGATAAATTGGATGCTGGCGTAAGATGAGTTTTCAATGAGAGGAGCTGGAGGCCCCGGAGCAACCGATCCCTTTAAGACTCTTGTTCGTCTTGTTGTTGTTAGTGGACAGTAGATGTCGCTTCACCGCTCTCAAACCACACCTGACACTATTGTGATAATTTGATTTTTTTTTCTATCAATTCCTTTGTTTATGAAGTCCTGCTGACTTGTGGAGAATTCAGTGGTTAATTAGAATTTCATCAATCAGTATATTTTTTATTTTGTTATCCCTAACGATGTGCCTATGTACACTTTAATGTAAAATATCAGCTTGCAGTGGGAGATAATAAACATCTTGCCTTATTTTTATATCCGTTTCCATGTTGCCCTTTTTGTTTTTTACATTTAGTTTCATTAGTTTTAGATTATATCATGCATTCTTTTTGAATCTCCCGAGACATAGAGAAGTAATTGTAATTCTGACAGAACAAGAGGGCATATCCTTTCTGTCCCACTAAATACGAAACCTAGTGTCCGACCGAATGAAACTAACTGGCGGTCGATAGACTTAATACGATAGAAATAATTTGTTACATTTGTTTGGGTTTGAATTGACATTAAAAAATATATGCTTCTTTTACATCCTTACTTTTATTTGCGTCAAATTCTTCGGCTGTTTTTTGCAGAATTCGGTCGGATACTAGGAGTGTCGACAAAAGAACTGCACTTCTCTTACCAATATATAAGAGTTTTTTAATTAATTAGTTAATTTAACGTAAACACATACCTAGTAGTAGTAACAAAATCATGACAAAAATTGCTTACATTCAGATTAAAGTGCAACAAAAAGTATTTGTATATAACTATAACAAGTTATATAATTAAAAAAGAATTTTAAACACCTTAAGTAATGTTCTCCTGGCAACGTAATTACGGCGACATTATATGGACGAAGTAAGTATATCGAGGTCCTTAATATAAACTAGAAATTATGCTTAATGAATAATCAGACACGTGCTATAAGTTATAACTGCTTGAAAAGTAAGGTCTTCATTTTCTTGCTTCATGCTTTACCTAACTGTTAATACGCTATGAACTTCAATAATAAATAACCTATTTATTAGTCCTAAAGTAACGATAAACAAAAATACATACATACTTATAAATTTAAGAAAGAAGACCTTAGCAATGTAATTTAAAGCAGTTCACAAACTGATATCTACGAGTTTAGTAAAAACTGAATACGAGCATCACGAGAATAAATATTTCTATACCAATTCAGAATATTACTTCTTGTTATTAATTAAAACAAAGTACCAACATACAAAACCTGATTAATAATAAATTATCAACAACGTAAACTTATCAAAAAGTTTTATTTATCCTTAAATCATAACCTAAAGGAGTCCAGAAGCAATTGTGAAGTGACTTCAAGATATTTGTTACTGTATCAACAAAGATTTTATCGAACCAAATCAAAGACACTAAGTAATTGTGAATGCAAAAGAAATAAATCCGTTCATGACCAAAAAAGTTTTTCGGGGGAACGCTTTTGTAACGGGAATTTTCTCTGTCGTGAAATGTATTAAAAATACCATAAATACTAGTCGAGGATTATTAAATACATGTAACACAGGTTTAAATTCTAAAGAAATTTTACTCAATACTGACAAGTTACAAGAAAAATTATATAATAATACTAATAGAGAATAATTACAAAGTTAAACAATTGTTTTTTAAAATTTACTCAAACATTATTGTTGATACTTTCGTTTACTCTAGAATTAATTATGGACACCGGCAAATTTCAGTTTGTATAAAAGCTGTCAATTCAAATTGTCACGGGCGTGGTGTCTACTGCGGTTGCGCGGAGCAAGTTTTGGCTTTGGTTTGATTTTTTTGTGTTAAGTGTAATGTGAACAGTAACGGAATATTTTTGTCCGCTGAAATAATTTTTAATCAATTAATTTCATCATAATATTAAAATAATTGTTTATGAAAAAAATAATTTTATATCTTGTCCAAAATATAACAAAGCTAGGCGTTTCCATGGGCGTTAACTTCAAGTTAGGTGAGTGTTTGTTATTATTAAATTAAAAATAGGGTTAATCCTTTATTAAAACATAATATAACATATTTATGTGAGAAGTTTTATACATTATTTGAAGGCATACAACTGAATTGGAATATCAATAGGCTCGTGTTTTGTTGACAACATACATTTACTTGAGAGTAATTCAATAAAAAGTGACGAATAGAAACGATTAGTTGCGTTTTTCAATCATAAATAAGAAGTATAATCAAACAATGCAATAGCCATATGGTTTATTCAATTGGAAATAAAATATTATGATATTTACTTGCAGGCCTGTGAATGTAAAAGACTGAGCTATGAATCTCAAAGTGATATCAATATTATTTATAATAACGAATGTAACATGGGCTCAAGACTATTCATCTCAAACATACAACCCAGACTACCAAGTGAACCCAACAAACAACTATCTGAATACCAACGATCCAAAATACGACAATCCGTATGATCCAAACAGAAGGTTCTCAAATCGTAATCAGTACGATTTAAATCGTAATCCGTATAATACTGATCAAAGATATAATCAGTACGACCGTAATGACCCAGGGACCAATCAGAATCCATATAATACAGATACCGGGAGACAGATTTATGACACCAGTAGAACATACAGCACTTCATATACTGGAGCCGAGTTGGAACATGATAGTGTTATTATAAATGAAGCGTAAGTTTAAATCATTCAAATCTGTATCTTATTAACTCAATCTGTACAAAATATGGTACATAATATAATCTTTATATAAGTGCACCTGCATAGGAAATAATTCTGATTGTTTTAAAAGCAATGTTTTCATTAAATGTTTGTGTCTTGTTTACACAAAAATTGGATTTTGTTCAAATAACTTGCAGTGTGAAATATAATTACTATTATTGCCTTATTCATTTTAATAACTAATAAGGCTTTGTTCTTAAATATATCCTTATATTTGCAGTACATACTTCATAGTTGCATCTCGAATGATCCGTCCGGGACAGATATATAAGATCTCAGCTAACATTCTGAAAGCTCGTCTCCAGATGACAATTCGAGCATCCATATCATGTAATGGAGTTGAAATAGCCGATGTTATAGAGAGAGTGAAGGAAGGTGTTCCCGAGGTTCTGAATATGAGGGTAAATATTAACTATTAATGATAATTGATTGAACTGATATTGTATAGATAAGACCATGGAAAAAAAATAAGTGTATAATTATAAAATTAACTTAAAATTAATCTTCACCAATTAAATGAAATCAATGAAAGAATATAGAATGCATATTCAAAATATCTACCATTGTAGTTGCATTCCACTCATTTTGCTTATTAGGGTATAATGCTTACACCTGTTGTTAAATATTTCCTATAAGAATTTTAGATCTTAAGATAAATCAATTGGAATTTGTGACGAAATCATAATGTAACTTGTATGTTAGGTAATCATTAATATAAATTACATATCTCATTAACTATCAAAGCAACAAAGAAATTTTTAATGAAACTAATACTTTTAGTATGTACCATTAGTGCTTTACTTTTTATTTTATTTTTTTTAAATGAAGCAGACGTCGTATATCCGAAAAATATTAGTTTCATTTTAATGAGAAAACTCGCGAAAGTCTAAGATCTCATTAAAGAAATATCTTTTGATATATTCAGGTGAATACAGATAAATTAAACCATTGAAAAAATGTTGTTAATACAAAATCATTGAAAACTGGTAATCCCTACTAATATTATAAATGCGAAAGTAACTCTGTCTGTCTGCTACGCTATCACGCCTAAACTACTTATCTGATTTTAATGAAATTTGGGACAGAGATAGAGTCGACCTTGAGAAAGAACATAGGATAGTTTTTATCCCAGACTTTTGAAAGGTTTTCTTGGAAACGCTATATAACCGAACTCCACGCGGGCGAAGCTGCGGGCGGAAAGCCAGTATAGAATAAAATGTGTTCATATCCAGGTTCCCGCCACATCGGTGCCGGGAGACTACAGGCTGCGCGTAGAAGGTCTCTACCTGGATGATCCGTTTGGAGGGAGGGCTTTTGTTAATGAAACTAAATTGACATTCTCCCAGAGATTCATGACCATCTTCATACAGATGGACAAGCCCGTGTACATGCAGTCACAGACTGGTGAGGCTCACACGCTGTGTGTTAAAATATAATATTAATGCCGGCCACACACGCTACGGTCTACCGGATAGGTAATCTGTGCAGGTAGACCTGCGCAGGTCAACCCAACAATGCTAGCGTTCAAAAACCTGCACAGGTCTATTCCCACACACATTCCGGTCTACCTGCACAGGTGGATCTCTCCGGTAGACCGTACTGTGTGTGGCCGGCATAACATAAAGAAATATGAATAGTCATATAACTGTTATGTAAGGTACATAACAAGTATCTGATTTTAATTTTAAAGTTTTTATGTGCTGTTCTATTTAATGAACTACATTTAAAATAGTTTGGCGCGGATATTTATTTCTCATCAATTATTATCAAACATAATCACATCTATGAGTAAATAAGTTGGTTTAAAGAGAAATGTTTCCAAAGATATTTTTTCTTATAAATCAATTTGTCAAGCATATTTATTTGATTGATATAAAAGGTCTTATTAAAGTCATAAAACTGCGCACAATCGAAGAAAAACTGACTATTAATATAAATGGAACTAATATTTTTTGGATTATACTACGCGTATATTATCATTTATCACCGTAGTCACGGTTGCTGAAAAGTGACCGAAATGTTGGGAGTATGTAATTTCTACAATAATAAAACGCGCAGTATAATCCGTAAAATATAAGTTTCATTTAAAAGCCTTACATCTCATGACTATTAATACATTTTTGAAGTTTGCTTTATTAATTTTTCTGTCTAACTGTCAATGTTTTTTAACTGTTCCAGTTAAGTTCCGTGTGATTCCAATCAACACGGAGCTGAAGGCGTTCGGTCGAGCCATCGATGTGTTCATACTTGACCCCAACAAGCGGATCATGAAGAGGTGGCTCTCAAGACAGGTACCTACATACGATAACAAAGATTCTAAACATAAAGGATAATTATTAAACATAATAAATATTACTGTAATTATATAGGATGGCAACCGGCCAACCAGGCAAACTACGAAACTTACTTAAATGTATATTATAATAAGAAATGCATTATTAAAACTTATAAGTTATAACCTAAGACTACATGAGCCTCGATGTTATGATAGCAATGCCATTCCATAGCTTGTGTGGTATCAGGAATCTTCTGGTTCACACGGCTTGGTGTTCGTTCCGCGGAGTTAGCGGCGTCACTCGGTATATGATATCTTATCCATGTTGCCCTGGCGATATTCGTTTATTTTTGACATGTAGCGAGTATGTAACACTGTTACAAACATCGTCATTAACTTCGATGTAACTATAAAACCTCATTGTGTTAAACGATCCCATCCGTTATTGAATTAAATTCGATACTCGAAAACACAATGAGTGATTGCTGAGTTAGTACCGGTTCAAGACATGATGTTTATGTAATAAGTTGATATATAAACAGGTTGGTTACACAATTAACATTAAAAAGATATCAAACTCAAATTGTTATATCCTTACTTTAGTCATTATATTATTTGTATCTTCATTAAAAAAAAACTTTATTTCTTTTATAAATCACAGATCTGAATGCAAAATTTGTGAGGCTTTTGCAGTTATATGTGACAATAAATCTTGTAAGCGTATCTAGCAAGACTTAGACAATTATTACACTTATACTTTAGCTCTATCACTCGGTCAAATGTAATGCGACATAACAACATTAATTTTAAACATCATGAGTTAATGAATGCATCTAGTATTATAACAAATTGATATCTTTTATGATTACACAACAAATTTTCTCATGAGTACCCTGTATATTTTGTTAAGTAACCCTGGTATATATTGTTATGAACCTAACCATATTAACCATTATCTAATTGTTAATTTCCAGAGTAACTTCGGTACAGTGAGCTTGCAGTATCCTCTATCAGATCAGCCTGTGTTCGGTGACTGGACCGTGAGGGTGGAGGCTTTGGGTCAGAGGGAGGAGGCCAGCTTCCTTGTGGAGGAGTACTATCAGACCAGGTTTGAGGTAAAGTCGATAACACTATGACCTTGAAAAGTACCTACTATAGAGATTACTAGATATTACTCAATAAAATTATGCTTTTTTGTGTCTTCTCAATTATAGTTACTTTAGAATATTCATATATCACTAGTTGTATGGCTTAATTTGACTTATTTGAAAGCAATTATTGTCCATTTAGTGCGATATGAGCCTTTAAGTCGTGAAGCATAAGGTATATAGTACAATGTATAAGTCAGTGGTGGCCTAGTGGTTAAAAGGCCCGCCTCTCATGCATGAGGGCGCGGGATCGATCCTGGCCCCGGCAAGAACCAATGTGATTATTCCGAGTCGTATGTATTTTCTAAGAGTATTTAGACACCACTGATTAATGCATTCCCAAAGAGGGTTGATGTCAGGCAGGCGGCCGGTCGCAAAAACAATTAGCCAAAACTATTCACATGTAAGGCGGACCCTTGTTTAAGCTGGGAAATTGACAGGTAGAAGAAGATATAGTACAATGTGTCAGTAATACTTCATTTCTAGGTGAACGTGACGATGCCGGCGTTCTTCTTCAATACAGACGGGTTCATCCACGGTCGTGTGATGGCTAACTACACGTCGGGCGCTCCTGTGAGAGGCAACCTCACGCTGCGGGCCACCCTAAGGCCGGTGCCCATATACAGGCCAAGACAAACACACAGACAGAACACACGTATATATATTGCTAATATTAATAATAACTTACATACATTTTTATTACTTGGCTTGTGATATTATTCATTTTTATTATATATAGAATTCAGTTTGATACTAATTCTGATTTTTTACAATGTTTTCTGTTGTAATAGTTGATGTTAATTCTACTACTGGTACTTCTATCTGAAATTTTGATATAAACAAGATTAGAATTTTATTCTTTTTCTATATGTTTTACTACATTAACATTACTATTATGAATATAAGATTTCACAAGTTTGTTTTGCTATTCCGCTTTCACTGTTACTTAACTGTCTGATATTTATTAAGATTGCCTTTATTCATCTTTATAGACTTACTGCCTAAAATAAATATAATATTACTCTTGAATATTTTCATGTGACTGAATATAAGAATTTTAGATGTTTAATTATATAATGTTTATTTTAGAACGTCCGAACTACAATCCCTACTTATACAACGAGACCGAGCAGTATGAACAGGGAGAGGAGGATAGACGCTGGCAACTTAATCACCGACCAGGGCAGCCCAACCAACTGGACCATCCTGACTGGTGGTATGACACACAGAAGGTTGTGTCCAGGGTGTTCAACTTTGTGAGTTGATAGGATAAATATATATATATATCACTTTAATTCTAAGAACACAAAGGAATACATACTCTTATTTTTTACGAAAAAATACATATATTGTCTTTTGGATAACGTTTTGTTTACTTTCTTGTAAAATACGTTCATAGCACCCAACACTGTTTTTAATTGTCTAACACACGGTCATCATTATTGTACATACATACTCTATAATATGTCCAACTTGAATCAAATTTGAAATTCGCGTTATAATGAAACCGCGCATAACGCGGTCATGCTAAGCGGGGTATTACTGTATACTATATATAGGCTTACTAGATGTTGAGTATTAACTAAGATGAATATGCTTATAGGACGAGGAGTTCCCATTCTGGATGCCCAAACCTGACCCTGTTGAGATCGCACAAATCAATATGAACATCAACAACAACAACATGAACAACATGAACAACTACCCAACGACAACATCATATAATAATTATTATAACAATCCCTACAACGACAAACTGCCGTACTTGAGATTCGTGAGTACTATGTAATACGAATTATTGGTATATACAGGAGCTATTAATATAATTATAATCTTCTATCTTCTTCTATATATATAAAAATTGATTGCTGTTCCTTAGTCTCGCTAAAACTCGAGAACAGCTGAACGGATTTATCTTATCTTAATCTTGAAATGTTCGTGGAGGTTCAGGGAAGGAATAAAAGCTGAAAAAAATTGATTCATTACTGGGAAAACCATAAAAACAGCCCTTTTCTATTTCCCATACAAACGTTTTTTTTTTGACATTAGATTTGACAACTAACTTATATTTCAATCATTCTGTCGCACTTCTGGTACGAGAGCTAGCAACGTCAAAAAACAAGAATTTCAGGTAGGCTAGTTTTTAGATATGCTATCTCTCACACTCCCCTGGACGTCATACGGGCTATCTGGCTGCCGGTAGTGGTTGCGTTCATAAGTGCGCATCGTACTTGTGCAGGTAAACAAATTATTATTTCAAATCATTTTAAGAAGGATTTTTTAATTATTATTATTTTTATTGAACTATTCACAACATAAATTTATTATTGCCAGATATTTTATTGTTGTTTAAACGGTGCCAAACGGCAATGTTGAATAAAAAAAAAATTTTTTTCAAAATATTTTTTCAAAATTTATTAGCTGAAATTTTAATAGCATGTTATTTAACTATCTAAAAGCTCAGAATTAATTTGCCAGACAAAAAAATCGGTTGTTAAACCTTTTGCCAGATCGAAATAAAGTGTAAAGAGATGTAGTATCATTTAGCTTGGTCTAGAAAATTAATCGTCTAATAAATGATGGAAGAAGGATTAAAAACTATTGAATTTATTTATAGATGAATACGGTATAAAAATAATACTTTATTGTTGTACAAAATTGAGATAATGATCAATGTTAAGTTTGAAAAAGCGCTCTGGCTACCGAGAGACTAACCGCTTCACGTATGATTTCTAAAACCCGTCCCCATACGGGCTGTATGACGTCCAGGGTAGTGTGAGAGATAGCATATCTAAAAACTAGCCTACCTGAAATTCTTGTTCAAAAACGTTGCTAGCTCTTAGAATATTCAAAACACGGAGATTTATGGCTTACAGGTAAACTCCAAAAATATAATTAAAAAAACGTAATAGATATTTCTTGATTATAGGGCGATACGAAGTTCGCCAGGTCTTCTAGTGTATAATATAGTTAGTTACATTGTGACATTAATAATATTTAAAGTGGGATTATGGAAACTAATTATATAGAGTGGCAACTGGAGGTTCCAGGAAAACTACGAAACTTACTTATATGTATATTAAAATAAGAATAACATATTAAAACTTATAATATATACCTAAGACTACATGATTGTCCCGATGGTAGGATAGCAATACCATTCCATAGCTTGTGTGGTATCAGGAATCTTCTGGTTCACACGGCTTGGTGTTCGTTCCGCAAGTAAGCGGCGTCACTCGTTAAATGATATTTTATCCATACAACGATATCACCTCGAGAAAGTTAATTTATTATTTAATATATTAATAGTGCATCGAAGTTTAACCAAATAAGATACGTAAAATTTTAAGATATGAAAATGATATTGTATGTAGAATAACTTTGTAAATGTACACAAATTAATTTATTTACTGTGGATATGTGATGCTGAACACTTGTATTTTAACCAGATATTTTTTTTAATTTATTAATTTCTCATGTAAATAACTATGTTTTCAATAATAAAAATAAATATTCTTTCAGTTCAACGGCACGTACGACTTCAGGTACCCCATGTCGGAGCTGGCGCAGCTGGTGCCGTCTCTAGAGGGCGTGGAGGTGATCATCACAGCGACTGTGGGCGACCCGTTCTTGGATGAACTGGTGGAAGGTTACAGCGTAGCTCGTATATACAACTCCTCGCTGGCAGTCACCTTCCTCGGCGGGGAGCTGCAAGTCTTTAAACCGCATATGCCGTTTGATGTTTATGTGAGTTATTTACTTATTTTAATGAAAGGAACGTTTTCGAATTATGAGTTTTTTAATATTTAAAAATACATACTCATTACGTTTTTGGTGATTCAGCAACCGTGATCAATCCTACCGTAGTGTAGTAATGCGAAAATATTAGTTTCATTTAAATGAACACTCAAAAGTTTTAGATAATAGATCTTATTACGTTTCGTTATTTTTGAGTATTTTTTGGGGGATATATTCTTTTAATATAATGTATGATGTATATCGAATTGGTTGTTCCGTTCTTAATATTGTTTGTGGATATGTTGTATATCTATTTTATTTTATTATTGAAGTGAAACTTCTTTTGCTACTTCTAACAAGATTGCGTTAATCGTTTTACGATCAAAGAGTGAGAAAGAAAGATACTCAAATATAGAGAATAGGAGAGAAAAAGAGAGTTGAGAAGCACATGCGACTGAAATTATTGTTTGTTTAACTAAACGAAACAAACTTGTTTCGAAGTATACAACATTTAATAGGGCAGTATTTTATTGCAAATGTAGTCGATAGGAATTGTTGACAATTACGAAGTTTTATTTCATTCGCACTCACGAATCCACGCATTGTTTTCTTTATTGAGTATTATTGTTCCTCTAATCTGCCATCACTAACGTTATATTTATTATGTTTCAGATGGCGGTGTCATTCCACGACGGGTCTCGTCTGCCGTGGTGGCAGGCCCGGGGCGCGGTGTTGACCGTGTCTGCATCTCTGGAGGGTCGCGGTGGAGCCATCGAAGTACCTCGACCTTCACTAGTGCCGGGCGACGCTGCCGTGTGGCATCTCAAGCTAGACTTGTATAAGCTCCTCAGTTAGTACTACATGTTTTTTTTTATGTCAAAGGTGTCAAACGAGCAGACAGCCTACATGGTGTAAGGTAGTACCGTCGCCCATGGACATCCGCAACAAACATTGTTGCTAATGCGTTGCCAACCTTACTTTTTTGGGAATAGGGAGTGGTGGGAATAAGGAAATGGTAGGAAAGGGTGGGGAATAGGGAAAGGGCAACCGGCTCTCTCACTCATCGGATGAAACGCAGCCATTAGAGTCTACTTCAAGCCGATCTTCTGTGAGAGGGTGGTACTTCCCCGGTCGAGCCAGTTCATGTTCGAGCTGTAGTAACTTACTACAGCTAGGTTCTACTACCTAAGAAATTTAAGTTAATTGATATCATACAGACCATATACTAGATATTGGTATATGGCTTCATAATATATATCTTTGATGCATTATGGTTCCGAACTTGCATGAATGTATATCAAATCAGGATGTATTTATAATCATAATAAACGATTGCTATTAGTGCTAATGAATGATAGTATTACAGCAGATCAATGAACCAACAAACAGTATTAATGACTATATTATCTACTATCTTCAGAGCTGGACAACGATCCTAATTACCGCGAGGTGTTGAACGGGATCACGGGCGTGCGTCTGTCAGCGTCGTTGGTGGACGCGTCGGGAGGCCGGGCCACCGCGGACGCACACTTCGTGGCTCACCAGAGCCCTAACCATCATCACTTGCGAGTCTCCACTTCTACTACGGACGCCAGGGTTAGATATAGCTATTATTATACAGGGTGACTGGTGAATTACTATCAATATTTAAGGAGAATACTCGGTACATGATTCTCATTCGAATTATGTAAAAAAAATAGGTACTTAATTTTTGACAAAATTTCCGTATAAATAAATAAAGTGTTGACACGTTCCAAGTGTTCAAGTGTGGACGCGTGCGGCGGCGTGCTGATACAACACCACGTCACGACACGCGTATGTGTGAGTGTCAGTGTATACCTAATCTGTAGGGTGTTCACACGATGCGTAATTAATTACACAACTTTTGGTTAACTTTACTTAGAAGTTTATTAATATTTATGTTATATTAATTTTTATTTTGTCATATATGATCGTCAAATATCACGTCCTCAAATATCGATAGTAATTCACCAGTCACCCTGTATAAATACTCCATTTAAAAAAACAATGTTCGGATTATTACGCGTATTTTATAAGTCAGTGGTGACCTAGTGGTTTAAAGGGGCTGCCTCTCATGCACGAGGGCGCGGGTTCGATCCTGGCCTTGGCAAGTACCAATGTGATTTTTCCGAGTCATATGTACTTTCTGAGAGTATTTAGACGTCACTGATTAATGCATTCCCAAAGAGGTTTGATGTCAGGCAGGCGGCCGGGTGTAACAACAAATAGCCAAAACTATTCACAACACGTAAGGCAGACCCTGGCTATAGCTAAGAAATTGTCAGGAAGAAGAATACGGCATATCGTCTGCCCGTGAACACGGTTGCTGCAAAGTAACCGAAACGTCGGGTGTATTTAGTTTAAAAAAAAATACGCGTAGTCATCTGAAAATGTTAGTTTCATTTAAATGAATACTCGCAAAGTCTTAGATCTCATTACATTGTCCTTTAGTTACACAGAAATAATTAGGACATACGCCTTTGCCGTTCATAAAATGACAGCCGCTTTTATTGATTTTTTTTATATAATAATGAAGTAAATAAAATATATCGGTATAGTTCTGTGGCAAGTAGGGACGTATTAATTTGATAAGCTTATAATATTGTTATGAGCTAGGGTTTGGTTAGCAATATAAGCACGGTATTTAACAAAAAAAAACACAATTCTTTATTATAATCGCTCATATTCACTTGAACATAAATGATATTTCCGCACGATACAGGTCTCCTAGTGTGGGGTCCAAAGATAACCAAAATTTTAAAATTGCTAAAACCATAATGCACCTCAACCAATTGAAAACATTGTAATAGTTTAAGTTAAGTTTAAGAAGATTAATTGTGTCATATGTTAATCTATTATGTAAGCATTCTATTTTTTCAATAAAGTTTTTCAATAAAGATATGAATGTGTGTGTTTGTGTAGGTGGGCGAGTACATCGTGTTCCACGTACAGAGTAACTTCTACATGGAGTCGTTCAACTACGTCGTTATGTCTAAAGGAATCATACTGACGAGCGGACAAGAGATCATGCAGGTGACTACGGATTATACAGGGTGACTGGTGAATTACTATCAATATTTAAGGAGAATATTCGGTACATGATTCTCATTCGAATTATGTAAAAAAAATAGGTACTTAATTTTTGACCAAATTTCCGTTTAAATAAATAAAGTGTGGACACGTTCCAAGTGTGGACGCGTGCGACGGCGTGCTGATACAACACCACGCCGCCGCACGCGTGTGTGTGTGTGTATACCTAATCTGTAGGGTGTTCACACGATGCGTAATTAATTACATAACTTTTGGTTAACTTTACTTAGAAGTTTATTAATATTTATGTTATATTAATTTTTATTTTGTCATATATGATCGTCAAATAACACGTCCTCAAATATCGATAGTAATTCACCAGTCACCCTGTATAACATAGTATTATTACATAATATAGTAATATAAAGATAATCACTTGCGAAACAAGTTTGGGTTTACGGTTGTAATATCATTTTATACAACTTTTAACTGTGAATTTTTAGTTTGTTCAAGTCTTTTCAGCATTTGTAATAGAAAATATTTACATAATTAATTTTGATAAAGTTCAATCAGTTTATAACGCGATTCAAAATGTTTCATAACAAGTAAACTATATATGTGTGTGTAGGAGGGTGTGCGTACATTTTCCGTGGGCGTGAGCGCCGAGATGGCTCCCGTGGGCACGCTGGTCGTGTGGGCGCATCGCAGACGAGCGCTCGTCCTGGCCGACTCCATCACGTTCCCTGTTAATGGCATCTCCACTAACAATGTGAGTATACCTCATGTCAAGTATATTTCAGTTCAGTAGTAGTGTTAGTAGTAACGTGTGTGTGTGTGTGTGTTTCAGTTCACGGTACACATCAACAACCGTAAGCACCGTACAGGCGAGCGCGTTGAGGTGGCCATCTACGGCGAGCCGGGAGCGTACGTTGGCTTGTCCGCCATCGACCACGCCTTCTACACCATGCAGGCCGGCAACGAGCTCACATATGCTAAGGTACCATGTTACGTCACACATATCTCCGTCTCTTTCCCTCCTTTCTCATTCTCTCGTTCATTATGACGTCACATCTTCCCTCTCAGGTGTTGTCCAAGATGTCTCACTTCGACGAGTCCACTAACGGCACGTTCTCATACACGTGGCGCTCTCACTTCGGTGACGCGGACGAGCTCGTGTACTTCCCCTCCGCCAGCTTCGGCATCGACGCCAACAGGACGTTCGAGTTAGTTACAATGATTAATATTCAAACATTATACAATACTAAAAGAACCGGCGAACTTCGTATCGCCTTATAATCAAGAAATATCTGTTACGTTTTTTTATTTATATTTAAAGAGTTTACCTATTAAAGCCATAAATCTCCGTGTTTTGAAGTGCGACAGAATGATTGACATATTAGTTAGTTGTCATATCTAAGGTCAAAAAAACGTTCGTATCAACAACAACTAATAAATTAAAAATTAATTAAAAAAACATTGTCCAGCGGACAAAATTGTGAATCTAATCCATTCCCAGATCCCCTTGAACACACACAAAATATTTTATCAAAGTCGGTCCAGTTGTTTAAGAGAAGTTCAGTGACATACACACTCACAGGAGAATTATATACAGGGTGACTGGTGAATTACTATCGATATTTGAGGACGTGATATATGAAGATCATATATGACAAAATAAAAATTAATATAACATAAATATTAATAAACTTCTAAGTAAAGTTAACCAAAAGTTATGTAATTAATTACGCATCGTGTGAACACCCTACAGATTAGGTATACACACACACACAGACGCGGCGGCGGCGTAGTGTTGTATCAGCACGCCGCCGCACGCGTCCACACTTGGAACACTTGGAACGTGTACACACTTTATTTATTTTTACGGAAATTTGGTCAAAAATTAAGCACCTATTTTTTTTCCATAATTCGAATGAGAATCATGTACCGAGTATGCTCCTTAAATATTGATAGTAATTCACCAGTCACCCTGTATATAAAGATTACTAATAATGAATTATGTATCATTACGTACTATATGTTTCCGTGTGTTCAGATACGTGGGTTTGATAGTGTTGAGCGACGTGCCAGTGTGGCGTCGTCCGTCTCCTTGCAATTCATCCTTGGGCCTAGCGGAGTGTCTGGACGGCTCGTGTTACCCGCTCGCCAAGCGGTGTGACGGCAGTCCCGACTGCGCAGACCGCACCGACGAGGCTAACTGTTAGTATAGCTCTAGAACATAGGAAAAACCTGTTGTTGTCAATAGTATAACATTAAGAGATACGTCTGCAGCGACTGAATGATTATCAAATCAATTATATAGATGATGAGAATCAAAAATAACTTGACTGAGTCGTTTCTTTGTATCACATATAGACATCCAAATATAAATAAATATAACAAATATATGTCCACGAATCACAGTCCATATTTTTCGTTAGTTGGGCTCCCTTTCTGGCAATTCCTTTGAAATATACGAAAAGACTGAACAATAAACAGAATGATCCTATAATCCTGGTTATAATAATGACTTATCCACCGGATGTCTCACTACATCGCGCTAGATCTCCACTATTTTAACTCCGTACCGTACACATTCCAGGTAAGCGCGAGGATTCGTTCGAGCTGTCCCACTTCCGCAAGTTCCGTTTCAACCGCATCCAGCGTCAGTACGACAACGCGTGGTTGTGGCGCGACGTGAACATCGGTCCTCACGGCCGGTACGTGCTCACGGTGGACGTGCCCGCTGCGCCTGCGCACTGGACGCTCTCCGCCTTCGCCATGTCGCCCTCTAGCGGCATCGGCATGCTGGCCAAGCCGCTACACGTTAGTTACATATTATATACTATAAACTAATCTAATATACTATATAGCAGATAACACACTGAATAACATGACTTGGTATATTTATACAACATACAATACAGATACTGCACTAGTAGGGCTCGGTATTGAAGATTGTCCTAGGCTGTCTCAGAAACCATTTTTAATGAAACACGTTGAGGTGCTCAAAAATTGACTCTTATTTTCTTAATACGTACAAAATACACAAATTACGGGAAGTAAGAAGACAATACACAAATTATGTACTAAAAATATTATTTTGATAATTCTTTTCAATAATTTGCTTCTATCTTGATCCTGTTGATATAAGTAGGCTTATTACATATAGGAATAAAAGAAAACAGTCAAAGATACTCATATATAACTATGAAATTTCCAATTATAATAAAAGAGACTGTATTATTGATTAACAAAAAATATTTTATAATATCACAGTTTCTAAATTTAATAAGTATATATGTGAACTCAGAATCAAAGAATAATAGCTATTTCTAACCATAATTATTCTCATGCAGCATTTTAGTGGCCATGTGAGAGATATTAACACAACCTTATGTTATCACCTTACAAGTGTTATATAATATATGTGTGTCCAGTACGTGGGTATCCTGCCGTTCTTCATGAAGCTCGAGGGTCCCGACAAGTGTCGCCAGGGGGAGCAGCTAGGGCTTCGAGTTGCGGTGTTCAACTATCAGCCTCAAGACATCGAGGCCGTGGTAGTACTAGCCAGCTCGCCCGACTACAAGTTCGTGCATGTAGAGGAAAATGGCATTGTTAGTATACTATGCTCTCCTAACAATAAACTTCTTCTTCTACCTGGCAATTTCCCAGCTATAGCCAGGGTCTGCCTTACATATTGTGAACTAGCTTTCCGCCCGCAGCTTCGCCGCGTGGAGTTCGGTTATATCGCGTTTCCAAGAGAACCTTTCAAAAGTCTGGGATAAAAACTATCCTATGTTCTTTCTCAAGGTCAACTCTATCTCTGTACCGAATTTCATTAAAATCAGTTCAGTGGTTTAGGCGTGAAAGCGTAGCAGACAGACAGACAGACAGACAGACAGAGTTACTTTCGCATTTATAATATTAGTAGGGATAATTTTGGCTAATTGTTTTTACGAATGGCTGCCTGCCTGACATCAACCCTCTTTGGGAATTACGTCTCCTAACTATAATATAGAGTGAAAACTATGAAAGACATACCGATGTTTTAGTGTTTGTTTATATTTATATTATGATAAATTACTGAATGGATTTCGGGATAGATTTGATACCAGAATAATATGTATATAGATAATTTATTTATGGTTTCTATATGTATCAAGTGACATGTTACAAACTGTGTATGAGAACGCCGGCAGTTTATTAACATATACATTTTAATTAAGTTTACATCCAAAAATAATTCCTAAGACCATGATAAAATAAAAAATAATAATAAAAAAATTCTAATATTTTTCAATAGTAATAACTAATAACTGAAATGAAATTTAAGGTGTTCGTGTATTAACATGGATTTTTTAAATCATTTTACAGCTCCTTTAAAGTGTCTTTTTTATCCTCTTTCCGTGTACACGGTTGATGCAAAAGCACGTTAGCGGTATAGAACATTAAATAACAGCAGTTATATCCGAAAACCTATTTTCGTACTTATAAATACACGTGAAAGTCTTATCATTAGTTAGTACTAGCTGCGCCTCGCGGATTTCCGGGATGTAATGCTTAGTAGCCTATGTGTTATTCCTGGACGTCCGCTTGCTGTATACAAAATTTTAACAAAATAGGTTTATCTGTTAAAGCGTGAAGAAGTAACAAACATACCCACAAACTTTCGCAATTATAATATTAGTAAGATAATAGAAATGTATCTCAATAGTTTATAAATTAATCTAAATTCAAACTAGTATTTGTCTTTGATATAACAGTCGTATGTACTTCTTATAATATTAGTTTTTTTCGTACTAATGTATCCAGGTTCGTTCATACAACCCCCGCACGTCGTTCGGTGAGCACCAGTTCTTCGTGTACATCAAGGCGGGTGACGCGGCCGTAGTGCATCTTCCCGTAGTAGCTGCGCGCCTCGGAACAATCAGGGTCGATGTACTCGCTTCCACGCTGCAAGGACAACATAGAGAACACAAATACATCACTGTTGAGGTAGAAATACTTTAGGCTTTATTATATTATAGATAGGGTCTATTTTAATATGCAGTTATAACTTAGTAGAAGCTCTTAGTAGAAGATGTTTATACTAGATTACTAGAGTTGTGTAAATTTCGGCATTAGTAATATATGTATATCTGTCCGGGCAAACTCTATTTCGCTCTAGAGGCCATAAATAAGCTGATATTGCAATTTAAATTTTTTATTTTTGGATCGAACAGAATTCAATATCCTATGTTCGTCTGCTGATTCTAAGCTGGATATCCTATGTCAGTCTCCTAAGCTATCTCTCCACAAATTTCCAACCATATCCACTAGCCGTTCTTGAGTTATAAATAGTGTAACTAACACGACTTTCTTTTATATATATATACAGGGTGACTGGTGAATTACTATCAATATTTAAGGAGCATACTCGGTACATGATTCTCATTCGAATTATGTAAAAAAAATAGGTACTTAATTTTTGACAAAATTTCCGTATAAATAAATAAAGTGTTGACACGTTCCAAGTGTTCCAAGCGTGGACGTGTGCGGCGGCGTGCTGATACAACACTACGCCGCCGCCGCGTCTGTGTGAGTGTATGTGTATACCTAATCTGTAGGGTGTTCATACGATGCGTAATTAATTACATAACTTTTGGTTAACTTTACTTAGAAGTTTATTAATATTTATGTTATATTAATTTTTATTTTGTCATATATGATCGTCATAAATCACGTCCTCAAATATCGATAGTAATTCACCAGTCACCCTGTATATATAGTATTTTAACTCCTGTGTGTATGTTTACAGGCGGACGGTATACCCCAGTACCGGCACCAGTCGGTGTTGTTAGACTTGTCCAACCGCGCCTACGTGTTCCAGTACATGCACGTGAACGTAACAGAGACCCCCATCATCCCGTACGAGGTGGACCGCTACTACGTGTTCGGCTCCAACAAGGCCAGGATCTCAGTAGTAGGGGACGTAGTCGGCCCGCTGTTCCCTACCATGCCTGTCAACGCGACCAGCCTGCTCGACTTACCGATGGTGATTATTATACACCATATAGTCCCTACTAATATTATAAATGCTAAAGTAACTCTGTCTGTCTGTTGAGCTTTCACGCCTAAAGCACTGAACTGATTTTAATGTTTGGTACAGAGATAGAATTGACCTTGACAAAGAACATAGATAGTTTTTATCCCACACTTTTGAAAGGTTCTCTTGGAAACGCGATATAACTGAAATCCAAGCGGGTTAAGCTGCGGACGGAAAGCTAGTTGTTCATATGATGTAATAATATCTAAGTCTTTTGTGAGTACACATTTAAATGAAAGCAATGTTTTCGGATAACCACCAGTTATTTTATTATTTTCGAAACTACATACTTCCGACGTTACGGTTACTTTGCAGCAACCGTGATCACGGTTGTCTGTCTGAGATGGTAATTAATAATAATACATAACGCGCGGTAATCTGAAAATATAAGTTTCATCTATTAATTTCTTTATTTAAATATTCCATTTTCATGCATATATCTATATGAGATAAAGTCAATGGATGCCTTGTAAGCGATGTACTAAAGCGTGCCTCAATTCCAGGATTCAGCGGAACAGAACATGTTCAGTTTCGCAGCCAACATGTACCTGACGCTGTACATGAGACTCATCAACCAGAGGAACCGCACGCTGGAGAAGGAGGCCTTCTACCACATGAACATACTGTACCAGAGACAACTGTCCTTTATGAAGGCCGACGGATCATTTGGACACTTCAGGAGTGACTGGTGAGATACTAGCTGCGCCCCGCGGTGTTACCGGGATTTCCGGGATGTAATGTAGCCTATGTGTTATTCCTGGACGTCAGCTTCCTGTATACAAAATTTTATCAAAATCGGTTCAACCGTTTGAGCGTGAAGAAGTAACAAACATACACACATACAAACTTTCGCAATTATAATATGAGTAGGATACTATAGAAATGTATCTCAATAGTTTATAAAGTAATCTAAATTCATACTAGTATTTTTCTTTGATATAAGTCGTATGTACGTCTGTTCATGTTATGAGTGTTGTTTCAGGAACCAGTCGTCGTCGAGCGTGTGGTTAACGTCATTCTGCGCTAAGATATTCCAGGAAGCTTCCTTCAATGAATGGGAGAACTACATTTACATTGACCCCGACGTAAGCATCTATAATCTTTCTAAGACTATCTCACATGTAGTTTCATAGACTCTAAGATTTGTGTTGTACAATTTCCTACTGAAATAGCAAATATTTCAAGACTACTATAGAATTGTAAGTCCCTGCTTATCTATATCTATATTCTTCGATAGTTGTTTCATGAGGTTGTAATATCCTGTCCCAGGTTATATCGATGTCCGTGTCGTGGATCCTGGAGCGCCAGGCTCCGTGGGGCGCCTTCATGGAGGTGCAGTGGGCGGCCGACCGGAACGCGAACAGCACCATACACGTGCCGCTCGACTCACAGCTGTATAGAGACGCGAGGGAACAGCTGCAGGGAGTCAAGGTACACACACACACATATATATTATATCGTACTAATATTATAATTGCGAAAGTTTGTGAGTGTGTGTGTATGGTTGTTACTTCTTCACGCTCAAACGGCTGAACCGATTTTGATAAAATTTTGTATACAGCAAGCTGACGTCCAGGAATAACATATAGACTACTTTACATCCCGGAAATCAGCGAGTAACACCGCGGGGCGCAGCTAGTAATTTACATATTGTAGATTGTGTTTGTAGTAGCCTCACTAGGCTACTACATTAACCACTGTTAAAGACCCACCTCTCGTGCATGAGGGCTCCATACCTGGCAAGTACCAATGTGATTATTCCGAGTCATATGTACTTTCTAAGGGTATTATAAGAAAACATCGTGAAAAAAACTGGATTTCATAACTTCAAATTACAAGTTTGAAATCACCAACTAGTTTTGAGCAAGTGTGGTGATTAATGCTCAAACCTTCTCCATGTGAGAAGAGGCCTTTGCTCTGCAGTGGGTTCTGATAGGTTGATAATGATGATATTTTAGATGTAGTTAATGAAATATAAAGATTCATATATATATCTTTAGCAGTCTACGGAGATAAAACTGAAATGGCTGCTATCAAAAATCAATATTTAATTTTAAGACACTTTTATACAAATAATTTTGTAAAGGTTTCAGTGATATCCAATAGTTTAACACAAGATTTTTAAAATGGATCTGAAGTCGAAAACTGTTAACGATGCTGAAACTTGAGTCTTAAGGCCCAGTTTCACCAATCAATGTTTGTTTAATCTAAACCCAGCATTTACTAACCAACCTACAAATTTATAAATGTCTGTTAAAATATTTACGTTCCACGATGACAAATTAAGAACCCATTATTAAACGTCATGTCAAATGACCGACTACCAAATTATTCGTTCCTGTTAAAAAGACGACCAAATGGAAACTATAGCGTTGAATACGGCACGTTTGCCACGATGCACCACTTTATACTTTGATCGTATATATCCCTCGATACGTCACTTGTTAGGTAATGCGACCAAATTTTATATATCGTGGGTTGCATACATTTGGCACACAAAAAGCTTTCTTTTCAATTTACTAGGTGTAACCTGTCAAAATCGGGTTGTCAATAAATTGTGTTATATATTATTGTGTTATAAATATAGACCTAAATTGTGTTCAAATTATAAGAAATAAAAAGAAAACTTAATTTGTAATGTCATAGAAAAGCTGGAGGCAATATCATCATACTAAATGAAATTTTAATCCACTTTATTAATAATTACAAGGAAATAGTCGAAACTGACAAAACGGATGACGTTACTATGGTTACAAGAAATCAGGGCTGTGATTGGACAATTGAGTTTCGACAATGCATTAACATTCTGTTAGCCATTAGACGGAGCTCCAGAGCAGGAATTAATATAAGTGGCTTGTCAAGACATTTAAACGGGACGCTCGATACATCTAACAGAGCATCAAACTCCTTCACACGATGTTACTTATTTAACATTGATTGGTGAAATTGGGTCTTAATTTTGTAGAGGTTTCAATGATGTCCAATAGGTTAAGATACGATTTTTAAAATAGATTTGATGTTGAAAACTATTAATGATGTTGAAATTTAAATCTTGAAAGTATTTAATAAAGGTCAATGTCCCATAAGCTTAGTATCATCTACGAAAACCTTTAGAAATATAATTTTGCATGACAAATAATAATTATTTAGAGGAAGAGAGACAAAAAACATGTAAAGTAATGTATGTTAATATAATACATATTTATGCGTCGTTTCATTGCAGGCTAACAACTCTATAATACTGCAGCGAAATATAACACTCACGGCGCAGGTCGTCATCACGCTGGAGTCAGTTAAAAACCTCAAGGACTTTGGAATACGAGAGGTATTATAATGATATACATAGTGAGAAAAAATGTATAATATACATTATATTATATGGTATATGAATATATGAAAATAGTAATTATACAATTTGAAGGAAATACGTCTCATAATAGTTAATATCAATTCCACTACAATTCTTCGATTATACTAAACATTATTAATACATGTTGTATGTGTGTGCAGGGTCTGTCAGCGCGCGTGTCGACGGCTCAGCAGTTGGGCGTGTCTTGGCTGGAGCGGAACTTGCAACTGGTTCACGAGTTCGGTTCCCCGTTGACCATGGCGTTACTTGCATACGCGCTCACAGCCGCCAAGGCGCCCTCCGCCGAGCACGCGTTCAGGTTACTCAAGAGACACCAGCGGTCTGAAGGTAAGGCTGGCTTATACTACTAATACTATAAATGCGGAAGTAACTCTGTCTGTCTGTCTGTTACGCTTTCACGCCTAAACCACTGAACTGATTTTAATGTAGTACAGAGATAGAGTCGACCTTGAGAAAGAACAAAGGATAGTTTTTATCACAGACTTTTGAAAGGTTCTCTTGGAAACGCGATATAACCCAACTCGACGCGGGCGAAGCTGCGGACGGAAATCTAGTACTCTATATGGAGAGATTTCTGGCTTTCATTTTTATTAACCCTTATTGATACTGTCGGCTAAATTGATCATATGAGGACGTTATTAACTGAAAAACGGAAAATGCTCTATATGTAATGTTATTAAAAGAATTTATAATAAGGTTATGAACCCTAACGTTACATGTTTTGTAAACAAAATGCGTCAAACTAACGATGTGGGTACATGAATATTAAAATATTAAAATTATGGTAATATATGAATGTAATTAAAAAAAATTAAAAGCTGTTTATATTTATTATATCTATGTGTTCCTGTCAGGTGGTCTAGTGTACTGGGGCAAGGAGCCCGTGCCAGCTCCTCCATATAAAATGGAAAATCAGAAACCCTTCCTACTACCTCGCCTGCCCTACAACTACGACTCCAACAACATCGCTGCCACGGCCTATGCTTTGCTTGCTTGCATGGACCATCAGGTAGAAATACACCAAAAAATAAAATTTTGACCAACTATGAGAATATAAGTATTACATTAACTTCAATTGTTTCAGGATAACAACGAACCGATAGTAATGTGGCTTAATTCACAACGTCTCAAAGATGGCGGCTGGGCTTCCACACAGGTTCGTATATATATCAATATTTTCTAATTTTCAATGTATAAGTTTACTTCTCAAAAAGAGGGTTGATGTCAGGCAGGCGGCCGGTAGTAAAGACAAATAGCCAAAACGATTCACAACACGTAAGGCAGACCCTGACTAAAGCTGGGAAATTGCCAGGAAGAAGAATGTATAAGTTTACTGGTTACATCATAAAAAAACACTAACGTATGCCGCTATCAAACAGTTATAGATAGATAGACAGAATATACTTTATTGTACACCACAAACAGTAAATTTTACATGGAAAAAAAATAATAAATTGAAATGTACAAAAAGGCGGTCTTATCGCTAAGTAGCGATTTCTGCCAGACAGGTATATTAATCAAGGCTCTGAAATGTTTTACGAACTGGAGAAGGACAGCCAAGGATCGGCGCGTATGGCAGACTATTGTGGAAGAGGTCAAGACCTACAAAGGGTCCACATAATACAAAGGGTTGTAGCGCCGAAGAAAGTTAAAGTTAGGTTATATTAATGGCACGACTAGTTATAATATATGTTATTATTTCCCAGGACACGTACATAGCCCTCCGCGCGTTGATCGAGTACACCAACAGGAAGCGCCTGCGCGACGTGAGCTCGCTGGCCGTGAGCGTGGAGGCCGTGGCGCTGAGCGGAGAGCCGCGGAGACTCACCGTGAGGAACCAGGACCTCGCCACGCTGCAGACCGTCGATGTTAGTAGACACTTACTATCACACATTACTTACTTCACTCCTAGTAACCACTGGCAATCACACATTACATACTGTACTCCTAGTAACCACTGACAATCACTCATTACCTACCTACCTTTACCTCCGTACTTACCAATTCCTAGGGGCTGTTCAGGTATTACGTAAGCACTGTGGAGGGGCGGGGGTCTTTGGTTTGATTATTTTGGATTACATGGGGGGTAGGGGAGTCAAGGCATCGATAAGGGCATCGATAGTTATTTACTTTTTAATCATCACATCGACAAGATCCATAAAAAATACAATTATAATTTTTTTCTGGATTTATATTTTAAAAAAACAATAGAGTAATTGAAAATGTTTACGTAAGTACTGGGGGAGGGGGTAAGAGCTTTGCTTACTTTTGCTGACAAGGGAGATGGGGGGGTAAATATTTGTAATAAATCTGCTTACGTAATACTTGAACGGTCCCTTACTACAGACTATAATTTGAGTCAATTTCAAAGCTCTTTCCCTCATTCCAAGTTCTATATTTGCATTCTAAAGCCTTTTTCAACTAAGTTGTAAGAAATCCATTTAATATTTTCTACCTGAATAGTATCATTGTCTTACAAGTTAATTTAAGCGATTTGGTGGTAATGGTCATAACTTAAATTTAAAAATGTGTATCATGATTACAACTGTATTATCCATCCATTTTTTGTAATAGATTTATAAGGCATATCGAAATTTTTTCATACTAAACCAGAAGTTTCCCAACTTATTTCGTCTGCTGCCCACGTTGAGAATAAATTTTTCGCGCCTCCATTTTTTTAATACTGAAAATCAGTGAAACTTAGTATATCTTAAATAAATTCCAAATCTCCACCCAAGCCTTTACACAACGCCCCTATTTTGTTTCTGGGTCTCTTATCACCCCCGTTAGGTCTCCACGCCCACTTTGGGAATGGCTCTACTAAACAAATACCATCCTACTAATACATATTATAATTTCCAAATTTTGTGAGTGTGTGTGTATGTTTGTTACTTCTTCACGCTCAAACGGCTGAACCGATTTTGATAAAATTTTGTATACAGGAAGTTGACGTCCATGAATAACACATAGGCTACTTTACATCCCGGAAATCCCGAAAATCCCGAAAGCTAGTTACAATATAATACAGGTTTTTTTTGCATAGATCCCCAGCGCGTGGGGTACAGTGAAGGTGACGGCTCGCGGCGCGGGGTACGCCATCCTGCAGATGTCGGTCCAGTACAACGTGGACACGCCTCGCTTCCAGACGCAGCCGCCGCGCCCGGCCTTCGCCCTCCTGGCGCGCGCTCACTACTACGGACGGAATCAGTCGCACATACACTACCAGACGTGCGCCAGGTATGAAGGAACATTGTAGTAGTCATTATAAATAATGAGAACGATTTAGACTAGCTTAACCGTTAACGTGACTTGAACCATTTCCAAATAGCGGTCCTCCGAGTGTAAAATTAAAGTCGATATACATGTGTAAAACTTTAAAGTTTGATATTTATTGTTTTCTATATAAATAGAAAAATAATATAAAATACAATAACGGGTAATAAAGTATCATATAGATTTAATGCATAACTCTGGCAGCAAACTAAAAACAGCTTCTGTGTGTCGTACAATCGTCATCTTTATATATATAATTCTCTGAGAGTGTGTATGTCACTGAACTTCTCTCAAACGACTGAACCGATTTTGATGACATTTTTTGAGTGTGTTCAAGGGGATCCGGGAATGGTTTAGATTCACAATTTGGCCGCTGGACCATGTTTTTTTAATTAATTTTTAATTTATTAGTAGTTCTTGATACAAACGTTTTTTTTTTACATTATATTTGACAACTAACTAATATGTCAATGATTAAGGCGATACGAAGTTTGCCGAGTCTTCTAGTATATATATATATATATATATATTATTGTTTTCCGTCCCAGTTGGACCCACCTGTCCGAGAGCCCGGTGTCCGGGCTGGCGGTACTGGAGGCAGCTCTGCCGACCGGATACATGATACAACAACAACGACTCGACGGATACGTGATGAGCAGAACAGTGCCCAGGCTACAGCGGGCCAGGTACCAGCCAGGGAAGATACTGTTCTACTTCGACTACGTTAGTATTAACATCATCTGTTAACACTTGGTTATATTAAAAATATCTGTTTTATATATATGGTAAACTTTTGTTACAACCGTCGAACTCAAAATACCTTATATTGCTATTAATTTATATTGTGCGTCTAAACTCAAACTCAAATAACTTTATTCAATATAGAAGCATTACACTTTCTTATTGATGGTCACTTGAGACACTACCACCGGTTCGGAAAAGAAAATACCCTGACCTGAGAAGAACCGGCTAAAGTATATCAACTCATAAATAAACAACAATTTTCCTAACTTTCATCTCATGTATATAAATAATTTCATATTTTAAAAATATAATAATTATAACTATATACAGTTGGATCACGAGCTGACCTGTGTGAACTTCACCATCGAGCGCTGGTACCCCGTCGCCAACATGTCGCGATACCTTCCTATACGAGTGTACGACTACTACGCACCCGGTGAGTTACCTGCCCTATCGATGCCATGCCTATTGCCGAGATATAAACTAAATTATTTTTTCTTCTATATATTTGCATATTCTCACTAAAATCAACCCTTAACTGTATTCTCCTCCATATATATGTTTTTATTTATAATGTATTCCAGAACGTTTCAACGAGACTATATTCGACGCCCTTCCCACTTACTTATTGAACATCTGTGAGGTGTGCGGCTCGTCACAATGTCCCTACTGCGCCATTTACAACGCCGGGGCTCCGCTGACTGCCTCCGCGCTCATACTACTGGCGACCGTCGCCGCGATCATACGGAACGTACGGACGTAACCGTAAACGTAATGGATAGTTACGTGTTAGTTAACACGAGACTTCAACACAGCCAAATAATGAGCATTACATACGACATGTAATAGACGACTTGCAGGATTATATATCTGAATGATTATCTAAATTCTAAATGTATAATAGTATTTTTTTATGTTTATATCATTCAACGTAGATGTAAGAAGAAAGTTAATATAGACCACCGTTATATACATTTTTTTTTACTAGTAAACATCTTACGCTGTCCACTTTATTTTCTAGCAAAACTTAGTCTGTACAAATTAAAGTGACTTTTCCTTTTTTCCATTCCAGTGTAGTGTATTATGAGTGTTCATTTAGTTAAAGATTTGTATAGAATGTAACGTCAACCTCTTCATATAACTTCATTGCTGTATTAAATAAGTTTGTAACTAACACCTTCTGTTTTAGGAGGACAATTGTGTGCTACATAAAATGTAATAGTTTTAAAACTGCTTTAAACTTTACCCTTATAATATACATAATTAGTTCTCAAAGACATTACCAAGTATAATGAATCACTTCAAATATCTTTTAACAGTCTGCTTTATTTATGTATAAATCAGAAAATTGTATCTTCCATATAAAAAGAGAATAATTTAAGTTGCATTTAATGCATCCTTGCCTTGTGTTTAATGTCTTTGCCGAGGCATAATGCATGTCTGTGTAAATAATTTAGGCAGTTAGAATTACTAGATTATGAATAGCTTACAATGTAGCTTCTGTAATTTAGCTGGAATTAACATTTAATATTAATATGCAATATAAGTGTTTTAGTTAAAGGAAATATGTCAATCGGAATGCCTTGGAAGTCTAAGACAATATCAGAAATTATTATTATATACATGATATACAAAATATGAGAATTTTTAACAAAAATATTTATTAATTGAATAAAATTATATTATTATTCACTTAATTATCAGATGAAATTATAGAGATTATATTGAACATTTTGTCAATGAGATGTATTAAATTTGTAACTACCGTCCAGATCTATTTAACGAGTAAGTAAAGAAAATATCAAAAGAATCTCTGTATACTTAGTAAGTTATGTTACTTAGTTAGTTTCCGTCCAAAATTACCAATGACTGAGTTTTTTTTTACTTTTATATATATTTGTGTGTAATTTTGTGTAAGTTTTTACACAACCGATCATGGTTAGTGTAGCCGAGTGAGCATTTTTTGACTCTTCATAGATTTATTTCTAAATAAAATATGTACAAAATATTTGTTGTTTGTATTGTCTTAATCACCTCTTCTATGCTTTTAATAACTAACAGCAATCAATGTCGCATCAATGCATGAACTATAAAATGTTTTTAATATTAAAAACAACATTAATAAACAGAACACTTCCTGATAAAACAAAAGGTAACTTTAAAATACTGTGTTCTTTCCATCCAAATAAAAATTATCAGATACTTTTTATTTTGCATTAAAAATATGCTTAGGTATTAATTTGAGATCCAAAAAGATTATAGGCACATTTATTCAGAAATTATTACAGTATCAAACTTTAAACACAAAACAGATCTGAAGCTTCAAATCATTTAAAATATAGATAATTTGCATTGCAAAATATTAAGACAAACCTAGATATATAAGGGTAAAATATTAAAATGTACCACATACAATGTTTAAAGTTTTATTGAAGATTTCAATATCTCTATATACAAAGGTATTTGATAAATACTTATTACAATTTACTAATACAAGTATTGTTACTGCCTCTTCTTAACTTGTTTTGATTTTGCATTGGCTTTAGTTGCTCCTCCGCTGAACAAAGAGGTGAACATCTCAGACATTTCCGGTAATTCTGACATTTTAGCCATATTACTGATATTCTTTAAATCCTCCTTGGTCTCCGGGTCATTCATCATTTTAGGTAAAATCATAATCAAAAGAAGAGGTAGGACCATCATTATAATCATTGGATTAAATAGGAAATCAGTGAGCCTCCATTGTTCACGGACTTGGAAATATCTAAATTTGGCTAGTGCTTTCATTCTTAATGGGTAAGGAACTTGTATGACCTGGGAGGTTTGTATATAATTCACTTTACGAGCCCTATACTTTCCTTTAGAGTTGATTTCAACTCTAACTGGCTCGTACATGTAGTCAGGGTTAATAATTTCAACGACATATGATCCCGACGGTACATTGTGAATCGTAAATGAACCATCGTCTTTTATAAAACCGATGTATTCTCCGCCATTCACATGTATCCTGGTGTCAATTTGCCAAGGCGACTTAAGTTCGCTATCATCTGGTGGAAAAACTCGACCCTCGATCACATATCGTCCATTTCCAAGTTCTTCTTCTATCGATTGTGAACGAACTGTAGCGAAAGCACAACAAACAATACCGAAAGTGATAATAGAAATGGGTAAGCGAAACATTATTCTATTGATTTAATAAAACATGCGTGGTTACACTAAAAGATAAATAATGCGTATAGGTAATACAAAGTTTTGATTAATCACAAGGTAAAAAAATTGTGAATCCTTCGTCTCTAATCACTGGTTTCAATGACAGTAATTACTTGACATTTTGATTTTGACAGTTCAACGTGAGAAAGTAAAAATGAACGTAACAAACTATACAAAAAAAATATAAAAAATAAAATTTGATATAATTTGAGTTAATAATAAAATAACCTTACAAATATAACTGGAAATAAAACTATTTATTTGTCTTAATGTATTATAAAGATAAATTACTCTAATAATATGTATTATTAGTAAAAACAAAGAATATTTGTTTAAACATTTTTAATGTATATAGATATAGAATTTATGCTTCGATATCTTGTAAATAAATGTCCAATATTATATTTGATTACCCTTACATACCGACAGCAATCGATTGTTGACCCTTTACGATGTGACATATATTTTTTATATACATAAAATTGTGCAACAAGTTTTATATTCTGTCGGACTGATAAAATTGAAATATTAATCAATCCTTTAATAATATCTACACATAAAATCATAAACCTATTCGATTTAAAATTGTAAATATTATATTTGACATCGCTCACGGCATTTCTTATCATGTATAGTTCACACTGAGATAAAAGCTCCGGCCCAGCGTAATATATATAAGGTGTACGGCGTATAAATCATAGTATAATAGCGATTGTCGGAGAGGAGTGAGGGCATTTCTTTGTTTTATATCCCTTATTTATCGTTATGTTACGTTATGTCATCGTCTTAGTATGTATATTATTATGTATTACTATATGTTCGGTCTGTGGCTTCGGGTATCACGTTAATGTTGTAAAACCTGGACCGCTGTATCCCCCAACAAAGGGTGAAGTTTGGCCAAAGCCACAGAATGAGAAAAAGGAGCCTATTTATTATTCATTTGATCCTGGACATTTTAAAGTCAAGGTAAATATATGAATCGTATTTTTGTTAGAAATATCGATCTCTTAACATATTTTCTATACGAACAGTTTAAAGATTCTTTCTAAAGTTTTATTGATAGATTTTTTTATATTACTCTAATAAAAATAGCTGTGATTTCAATAAATAAATAAATAGGGCAATAATAATTACGGGTTTTTTTACTAACGTGTGACTAATATGAAAATTGCTGTTACGGTTTTTTAGTAACTTCGAACCTATTAACTCGTAAATTAGTTCGTAACTAATTATACAATTTATAAATAGTAATTTAAAACCTCTGTAATGATGGTATAGTAAAGCATTACCAATTACCTTGTTACGCATCACATTATAATTGGATTTGTGTTTATATTTTCTAAGGCAATTAACAACGATAACATTAGTTCTTTTTTACATTCACCCATTAATGTAAATTCTAAATATGCTTTAATATCTCCAAACACATATTATTTGTATTGAGATTATGTAAATATGCGACAAAATTAATAATTTTCCTATAAATTCATAAAATCTAAATTCAACATTTAGATGGTTGTCGTTACTTTGAAAAAACAATGTAGGTAATGTCACTCATCAATCAATCGATCAATCAACAGGTACAACAGGAAACTTGCGATATATTAACAAATGCTGTCGAAAGATATATATATGTTATTAAAAATAAGAGCGGTCTGCATGTGCGAGAGAGGAAGCTTCGTGCTCACAGACGCACCGACGATGTTTACAAGGGGAAGATAAACCAGCTCATGATTACTCTGACGTCTCCCTGCGAGGAATATCCGCATATTGATATGGTTGAAAGCTGTAAGTTCATTTCATGGCTGTTTGGACAAAATCATTGCCTATTTATAAAAACAAAATAAAAAAACAAGCCTAGGTCGTTACAAATGGAATCAAAGAAAAATATTTTACGTAAATTTATTGTATTAAATTTTTACAAATGTATAGTTCATAACTAATTCAAATGAGAGAATCATAATTTGTTATTACTCAAATTTATTTAATAGTGTATCCATAAACAAAATTGCTTATTTATAAATACGTAAATATACAAGTCTTAGAAATTGAGATGTCCACTTAGTAAATAAATGATATCTCTGATTGCACTACATAAGTGCTTAGTAAATTTAATAATATAATAAATATCTTGTTGACCTTTGCTTTTGTCCCATACTTTGTTATTGATAAAAATCTCGTTGGATAGAATAATATACTCCAGCCGTTATCTTGAGGTTAAAAAATATACGTCATAATGAAAGGTCTATGATTGTTGCTTTACTTTTACAAGCATTATTAAACATTCCCACAAGTAGCATCGTCAACCTAGGAACAGAGAATTAACATTTTTTATTCACAATCGTCGCACATGATAGCATCGCTAGGTTTCTGACTTAACGGTTTTAAATGTTAAATTTTTAAGTTTTCGTCTCACAGGATCAATTCTAAAATAATTTTGAGAAATTATATTAAAGAGCAAAAAAAAATACATAATTAAATTGGTTGGATATATATAATCGTATTTAAAATTTGCTCTGATAAGATCCCAAATGACAAGGGACGGTTAAGAAATATTTCCACTTTTCAGACAATCTAAGTGTTGCCGACACATCGCAGCTCACGAGTACCTCGATATGGGGAGTGTTGAGAGGACTTGAGACATTTTCACAATTATTTTATCTTTCCAATGACCGAAATGTAAGATTAATAAAAGCCATATAATTGCTAACTTACATAACTCAATGAATCGTTTTTAAATGTAAATACATTATGACTATTAGTGATGTGCCGCACTTAATTCACAAAGTAACGGTTTTTTCAAATATAACTTTTGTTACAGGAGCTGTATATCAATAAAACGGATATAATTGATTTTCCACGTTACAAACATCGTGGTATCCTGTTGGATACATCCCGACATTACGCTACACCATCAACAATTCTTAAATTGTTAGAATCTATTTCCATTAATAAAATGAACGTTTTCCATTGGCATATTGTTGATGATCAAAGTTTTCCTTATGAGAGTGAGAAGTTTCCAGAAATAAGGTACTAATATATTTAGAATATAATTAAACCGAATTGAAATAAATATATTGACACTCTTTCATTGCAACTAATCATTAATGAATTATTTCAAGTGAACGCGGTGCCTATGATTCTTCTATGGTGTACACGAAAGAAGACATCCTCATGATCATAGATTTTGCTAGAAACCGGGGAATACGGGTCATACCGGAATTCGATGTTCCTGGTATTTAAATTAAACTTTCAACTTTTTTATTTTGTAAACTTATATATTTTTTAAGTAAAACCTTTTTTCTTCGTAATTTTTTGCTTGAATCTTGAGTCTTATGCAGTCAAAGTTACTATTTCACCATTGTAAATCATCAGGACACACCGCGTCCTGGGGCCTCGCGTACCCCGGTGTTCTAACGGAGTGCTACGACAAGCAAAAGATGGTGGGCCTCGGTCCCATGGAACCCACCAAAAATATAACATACAAACTCCTCGCGGATCTGTTCGCTGAAGTACAGGATTTGTTCCCCGACAAATACTTCCACGTCGGCGGTGATGAAGTCGAGTTACAGTGCTGGTAATCATTGATAGAATTTATAACAATTTGTTTGTCAAGATACTTGCAAGCTATAAGACGATAATGAAGTATGCTACAACTGTGTTTATTTCATCAGGAGTTCAAATCCACATTTGAGAGATTATATGAATAAGAACAACATAAAAGTAACGGATCTTCATTCCCTGTTCATGAGGAACGTCCTTCCTCTCCTCTCCAACAGCTCCAAAGTTATCGTATGGCAGGTGATGATTATTACTCTAATAATAAATAATCCATTATTAATGTTATTTTAATGCTCGTATTCCTCCTAGTGACCTCTTTGATAACATCAATTTTAATCTACTCTATATAGATTAAACAAAACTTTTATTTTTTAAATTAATGTTTAGGAAGTTTTTGACGAAGGAGTACCTCTATCAAAGGACACACTAGTGCAAGTATGGAAATACGGCTGGGTGGCTGAGATGCTCTCGGTTAGTAGACATCTATTTTGTATTTGGAACTAAAATCTTGATGTTTAAAATTGATAGTGAAATTTAAGTTGTATTATGATAATCCAGGTGTTGACATCCGGGCACAAGGTGTTGTTCTCGGCGGCGTGGTATTTGGACGCGTTGAACCAGAAGTGGACGGACCTCTACACACACGACCCTCGAGGAATGGTGATGGACGTGACCGATAACAGTTCTCTGGCGCAGGGCGTGGTGGGCGGAGAGGCCTGCATGTGGGGAGAAATGATCGATGACAGGAGTGTCATGACTCGGTACATACATCACACTTTTATTCTCTCTATATTTTGAGCATATCCTATTGTGCCTCTGAGTTATTGGCGTCGCTTTGATCGTTAGACATGGAATTAAAGTCTTAAGAAATTTTTTATAAATAAGATACATAAAATATACATTTTAGTCGGAGTCACATCACATACAGTATTTGAAATCTGTTAATAATACCAATGAGCTCAGAATACTGTTATTATAGTGTATGGCCGCGAGCCAGCGCTGTGGCTGAGCGTCTGTGGAGCGCTGTGGAAGGATCGTACTACATCGTGCCAGCGGAGGCCTACCACCGCATAGAGGAGCACACCTGCCGCATGATAAGACGAGGCATCGACTCCGGACCACCATCGGGACCGGGCTTCTGTGTCGTATAATAGTGTTGTGACATATACTGTAAAAAATAAAATATATACAATTAAACTTGTCATTTATTTCCACCTCTTTAACTATACAAAATAATTAAAAATATTATATAAAGAAAGGAGATCATTCAGGCTTCATACATTTTTGGGCCTTTTTTGAAAGTGCCAGCCAACAAAAAAAAATGGTACATATTTGTAGAACTAACCATTTGGAACAATAGTTAATATGGCGCAAAAGTTGTAGGATCCAAGATATAGAAGTTATTCAAGTTTCAAGATTCATCATTTTGGTACTTTATTTTTTTCTGAAAATGCCAGGAAACATAAAATAATGATTGATATTGCTAGAGTTAAGCTTCTCAAGCAAATCATTATAGCCATAATCTGTTAGAAACCTGTCGTTTTTATGTAATACTAGCGAACCCGACACACGTTGTTCCGCCAAGTATCTGAACGCATGCAACACATTTCTTGATGATTTTATTATTTGTCTAAACTAATATGTATGTATATCGGGGTGCCATTTTTATATATTAAAAAAATGGGCCTAGAAGCACTTTTAACCGATTTTGTACCATTTCGGGTTAGATTTGATCATATGACGCGAGAGCAAGTGCTTCGCAGGCATTGAGGACCGGCTGCTGCCGGAAAAGAGGCTCCGCCCTCCACTCGGCAGGACCTCTACTGCACCGCCGCCCCAAGAAGCAGCGCCAGCGCAGAAGGAGCAGCCCAAGGCCACGAAGGCAGGCAAAGGGAAGGGGAAGGGAAAGAAGTCCCCTTCGGCCCCTACCTCACAGGCGGGAGCCAGCGCTGCCCCAGCGCCCGCCCAAGCTCCTGTAAGGGAAGATGCCCTGCTGCCTTCTACCACACCCTCCAACGAGCCATGGAAGAAGGTGGTGGGCAAGAAGCAGCGAAAGGGGAAAAAGCCGGTACCTGAATCCCCGGCAGCCAATAAAGCTCCGGCAGGAAAGAGGAGGAAGCTCGTTCCTCCAAAAACCGCGGCCGTAGTGGTGACCCTCACAGCGGAAGCCGTTACACGTGGGGAGACGTACGAGTCCGTGCTGCGACGGGCTCGTGCAAATATTGACCCCGTGCAACCGAGTGAGGGCAGGGTCACGTGCCGACGGACCCAAACCGGGGCTCGTATCTTCGAGTTTTCGGGGGCTCAGGGCAGCGCCAAGGCCGACACCTTCGCCAGCCAACTAAAGGAGGTAATCGCAGACACGGCCAAAATCGCGAGGCCATTGAAGTGCGTGACTCTGGAAGTGACCGATCTCGATGATTCGGTCACCCAAGAGGAGGTCGTGGCCGCAGTCGCGGCGTTGGGGGGCTGCGACATCGCAGCGATTAAGGGCCGCGCCATCAGACCTGGCCGTGGGGGCATGGGCAGCTTGCGACTGGAGTGCCCAGTCGTGGCTGCAAAGGCAGTTCTGGCAAAGGGACGCCTCCCGGTTGGTTTCAGCTCGGCTGGTGTCCGGGCTCTTGAGGACGAGCCGATGCGCTGCTACAAGTGCTTCGGCATCGGCCACACCCGGGCCCTTTGTCCGTCCGCTGCGGAGCGTACAGACCTGTGCTTCCGCTGCGGCAAGGGGGGGCACAGGTCCACCGCCTGCGAGGCCACCAAGCCGCACTGTGCCGTGTGCGCTGACAGTGGTCGGCCAGCCGACCACATTATGACGGGGAGGAAATGTCGTCCTCCCCTAAAGAAAGGGAAAGCGCAGGTGACCACACGACCTGCTGCTGCCGCCGTCACTGCGATCCCAGTCCCAGTGCCGACAACCGAGGGGAGTGCGATGAACACCGACTAATGACTGGGCTTCATCGCATTCTCCAGGCGAACATCAACCACTGCAAAGCGGCCCAGGACCTGCTGGTCCAAACCTTTGCCGAGTGGTTGGTGGACGTGGCGGTTGTCGCCGAGCCTTACTCAGTCCCTGGCACATGGCTAGGTGACGAGAACGGCTCGGTGGCGTTGGTTGCGCGGTCTTCCACAGACTCCCCCCCCATCTCGCTCTTAGAGAAGGGGCCGGGATACGTGGCCGCTGCATGGGGAGACATAGCCTTAATAGGGGTTTATTTCTCCCCCAACCGCCCTCTTACGGACTTCGAGAACTTCCTCGGCGTCCTCGCCATGGTGGCCGGCAGAGCAGCGCAACGCCGGGTCTTGGTGGTGGGCGACTTCAACGCCAAGTCGGTGGCATGGGGTAGCCCACGCACGGACGCACGGGGACGCGAGGTAGAGTCGTGGTCGGTGACGTCAGGTCTGTCCCTCCTGAATAGAGGGACAGTACACACCTGCGTGCGGCGACAGGGGGGCTCCATAGTGGACCTCGCCTTCGCCGCCCCTTCCTTGGCGGCCTGTGTCGTGAACTGGCGGGTGGAGCTGGTAGAGACTCTATCGGACCACCGATATGTGCGGTTCGATGTCTCCACCCAGGACTCCCAGGGGAACCGTGCTGGGGCCCAGTCACAATTCCCGCGGTGGGCGCTCACCCGTTTGGACCAGGGGGCCGCCAAGGAGGCGGCCTTCGTCCAGGACTGGCTCACACCGCCAGTCGACGTTCAGGACGTGGACGCCGCGGCAGCTCAACTAAGAGCCTCCTTGACCGAGGTGTGCAATTCCAGTATGCCTCGGTCCCATCGTCCACCTCCGCGACGCGCCGTTTATTGGTGGTCGGAGGAGTTGGCTGCTCTCCGGGCCATCTGTGTGGCGGCCAGGCGGGAGTACACGAGGAGCCGGCGGCGGCGCACCCGTGATCTAGCCAACGAGGATCGTCTCTACGCATCATACGTAGAGGCGAAGACCGTCCTCAAAGCGAGAATCGCCGCCGCCTTGGACCGCGCGAGGTCGGAAATGTTGGAGAGTCTCGACAACGATCCTTTCGGGAGACCGTACAAGGCGGCGCGGAAGAAGCTGCGTCCTTACGGTCCCCCAGTTGCCGAGACCCTCGAACCAACGCTGTTGGATGGGGTGGTACAGTCCCTGTTTCCCCGCAGGGACAGGTTCACCCCCCCGGCAATGAGCCGGCCGCGCGGTGAGGGTCCAACAGTGGACGAAGTGCCTCTTGTTACGGAGGAGGAGTTGGAGGAAGCAATGGCCCGCCTCCGTAAGAAGAAGACGGCCCCAGGGCCGGACGGCGTCCCCGCGAGGGTGGTGGCCATCGCCGCTTCCCGGATGGGTCCACGATTTCGGGACCTTTTCGGAGCGTGTCTGGCGTCGAAGAGGTTCCCGAATATATGGAAGGAGGGCCAATTGTGCCTTCTACGTAAGGAAGGTCGGCCGGTGGACTCCCCGTCCGCTTACCGACCCATCGTCTTGCTTGATGAGGTTGGTAAAATGTTCGAGGGGATGATAGCCACCCGCCTCAAGGGACATTTGGGCACAATTGGCCCAGACCTGTCGGACGCTCAGTTCGGTTTTCGGCCTGAGCGTTCAACATTGGACGCCCTGTCGAGACTGAGGGATCAGGTGAGCGAGGCGATGGAAGCGGGGGATGGACTGTTGGCTGTGTCCTTTGACATAGCCAACGCTTTTAACTCCGTCCCCCACTCCACCATCCTAGAGGCACTCCGCTACCACGGAGTGCCTCCATACTTGCGGGCCCTCCTAGCCAGCTATCTAGAGGACCGTTCGGTCCTCGTTGCGGATAGGGCGGGTCAACTGCGACGGTATGGCGTCGAATCTGGTGTTCCACAGGGTTCCGTTCTAGGACCACTCCTGTGGAATATCGGGTTCGACTGGCTACTGCGGGGAAATCTTCCCCGAGGCACGTCAGTCGTCTGCTATGCAGATGACACTCTCCTGACTGCTCGGGGGAGTAATTTCGAGACGGCAGCCAGCCTGGCCTCAGCGGGAGGATCCTTGCTCGCTGACAGGATCTCACGCCTTGGACTGACGGTGGCGTTGCACAAGACCGAAGCCGTCTACTTCCATCGGCCTCGGCATCGCCAGCCGCCGGACGCTCATATTTATGTGGGGGGCGTCCGGATCGGGGTGCAGGAACAGATGAACTATCTGGGCCTGACGCTCGACAGCAGGTGGCGATTCGGCCCCCATTTCAATGGGCTGTCGACGCGCCTGCTGAAGACCGCGGGGGCTCTTTCCTGGCTCCTCCCAAACATCGGGGGACCTGGGAATCGATGCCGGCAACTATATGCCGGCATCTTGAAGAGTATGGCCCTTTACGGGGCCCCAATCTGGGCGGACTCCCTTCATAGGAGGGAAAACGCAGCAGCGTTCCGGAGGCCCCAAAGGGCTATTGCGCAGCGGGCGGCGAGGGCTTACCGCACGGTAAGCCTCGCGGCAGCGTGCGCTCTGGCGGGCACCCCTCCTTGGGAGCTCGAGGCGTGGGTGCTCGCCAGAGTCTACGAGTGGAGAGGGGAGCAGCGGGTGCTTGGCCAGCGCCCCAACGCCGCTGAGAGGGGAGCCGTTCGTGAGGAGGCGAGGGCCGCAGTCGTCCAACATTGGACAGAGGACCTCGCCACCGCAACGTTCGGCCGAAGAACGCTTGACGCGATCGGGCCCGTCCTCAAGGATTGGCTCGGTCGGTCATTTGGCTCCCTCTCCTTCCGTCTGGTCCAGGTGCTATCCGGGCATGGCTGCTTCGGATCGTACCTGCACCGGATCGGGAGGGAAGAGTCTCCGTCGTGCCACCAGTGCGGAGCTGAAGTGGACACCCCAGAGCACACCATGGAGGTGTGCCCATCGTGGGCCGTGCCCCGTCGTGCACTGGTGGCAGTGATTGGCAGCGACCTCTCGCTCCCTCGTGTGGTCAACGCCATGCTGGGGAGTGAGGAGGCGTGGACTGCAGTTGCCTCCTTCTGCGAGGACGTAATGTCACAGAAGGAGGCGGCGGAGCGGCAGCGCGAGGACGATCCCTCAGCGCCAGCGCTCCGTAGAAGGAGAAGGGGCGGAAGGCGGCGCGCACAGCGTCCATCTTCACCCGCCCCTGCGACGGCCATAGATGGCCGTGCGCTCCGGCCACAACAGAGCCCCCCCCCACCTGGGGGGGCGTGAGGGGTCCGCCAGAAGGTGGGCAATCGCCAGCAGGGGGCTGGACGCAAACAGGATTCCCAGCCCCCTGCCAGTCAGGCGAGGTCGGAGCGCCACTGGGTTATTTTAGTGGGTATACCGGGAATCCTTTTCCCGGGGAGTCCCACATACCCCTCTCCGTCTTCAACGGAGAGGGGATGCGTAAAGCATTTTTTCCCAGTGCGCACAAAAAAAAAAAAAAAAAAAAAAAAAAAAAGTATTACATAAAAACGACAGGTTTCTAACAGATTATGGCTATAATGATTTGCTTGAGAAGCTTAACTCTAGCAATATCAATCATTATTTTATGTTTCCTGGCACTTTCAGAAAAAAATAAAGTACCAAAATGATGAATCTTGAAACTTGAATAACTTCTATATCTTGGATCCTACAACTTTTGCGCCATATTAACTATTGTTCCAAATGGTTAGTTCTACAAATATGTACCATTTTTTTTTGTTGGCCGGCACTTTTAAAAAAAGCCCAAAAAGAATGATCTCCTTTCTATATCGGATGTAATGCACATGTTGTGATGGATTAAAAAATCACTTGTAAAAAAATATTCTATATTATGTTTCATAATGTACTATGGTAAAATCGTTTCATTACTTAAGGTAATAACTAATATTATTATTTCAAACCATCGACTTATACTAATGGACATGCCGTACGCGTATAATCTGCAGTAATTTTTTGGTTTGAAAAGAGTGACAGAGATGGCCTATGCTTTCGGTCTAGCACTATCTCTTTCCTCATGGGTACGGTACTATTTTAAGACTTCGTTTCCTCTCTTTCTTTCGAAATGCCACAATTCTCATATCTAAGGCTTGTCCAATTGACTAATGAGTATAAGTCGATGTTTAAAACGAATATCATAGTAAAATTATAATAACATTTAGTAAAGAATTTTTATTTTTTCAAAATATTATTATCACTACTATATAAAAAAAATGTGATAACTTTTTACATCGGGTTTTTTTATGAAAAATAATAAACTCCTTGATAAGTAAATGTGGTTTCATTCAAACCATTTTATATTTTATCTATATCTCTAAAAGTTTATGTTTAATAATAGAATTGCAAAAAAAAAAAATAATAATATTTTTTAAAATCAATTATATTCCTTTTTAATATTTTGTAGATTTAAGTCACATCCAAAAAAAAAACGGTAGAATTATCGATTTGTCACAGTACTATGAGCCATAGTAAGTTGTAACTTTTACTATCTGTGAAAATATTGTAAACATTAAACATTAAACAATTTGTTTGAATACATGTGTACCTCGTGCGGATAGAAGATTTTATTTCATTATAATTTTAGCTTTAATATGTGCTGCAATTAACTGATAACATTTTGCCAAAATGTCTGGTTACCTTGAAGTGAAATATCCGTTTAGATCGAACCTTGGTTTGAATCCTTTCAAGGTGAGTAGAAAATAATCAACGACAGTCGGTTGAGACAATAATATTTATGATTGATTACTGTTTGTGGCAGTCTTGGAAGAGACAATGGTGTATATTGCGGCCGAGTCCCACGACTGTGGGAGGTTCTCTGGCCGTGTATTGCAGCGAGGCTGGGGCTGCGGCGGGCACTGTTGAGTTGCGTTCAGGTTGCACTGTAAAACGTGCCAAGTCCCGTACAAGGCCCCACGCTTTCGCTGTGTTTTCCGTCGGAGAACCCTGCAAGCCTCGCATCCTGTTGGCGGCACAGACTCTGCAGGAAGCCCAACAGTGGATGGACAAAATTCGTGACTTATTGAACGGCGAGAAATTATTAGGTGACTACTACCTTCATTTTTATTTTATAAATTTATTGTGTCGAGATTCATTTGATGAATATGAGTAGTATATACAAAGTTAGTTTACTCTAATTTTCCTTTTGTAATGTTAATTTAATAATATTTTCCTCTTATAATGTTATACATACATGTATAAATTTTTTTTAGACCTTATTTTACATCTGTTTTATAAATTAGTACCTCAATATTTGAGGAATCTTTTCAAAGTTGTATATGGGAGTGAATCTCAATGCCACTATGCGTAATCATCATTTATAATACAAGTCACAATAGAAATTTAAATATAATTATAATCAGTTATAAATATAATATATTGAATATGATTGAATGCTAATATGGAGACGGTCATAAATCATAGCAAAGTACGTCATTCAGTTGTGTTATGGTTTGCAACGGTGACATATATTTTAAGTACTAAAAAAATTTGGTTCTTACTTACACCCTTTCATTACTATAGAAGAAAAGTTACGAAGGTAACATTGTATCTAGCAGTAACTTTTTTAATATTTACCTAAGCAGAAATCATTTTTGGGTTCAGATAGGTAAAAAATGATTGTATCGTAAACTCTTTAGTCAGATTTGGATGTAGTGTGCTTTATGTCTTATTTAAATGATCATAAATATGTATATGATTTGTCAAGTTAAGTGGTGTATCAATCCATTATTCCATCACATTATCATTCCATGCTGTTATTTTGAGCAATTTTGATGATAAGAAAATACCAAAATTGCTCACATCATATCATGCTTTATCATATCATTTTCAGGCACGGAAACATTATTAAAAGATTCCTATATGGTGACAATCATACCCACCACTTTCTCTGATAAGTGCGGTATAACAAACGAATGTCAAGTGACATTGTCTCCCAACGGCCTCAAGTTTAGCTGTCCGCCGACCGACACAGTTATACACTGGCAGAACATTACAGAGGTTCTGCATACAAGAGAAACCGGGGACAAGAATAGAATATGTATCCTTAATGTTCATAGGTTTGTTAAGTTTGTTACTAGCTTGGTCGGTAAGTAAGTTTTGGTTGGACAGAGTATAATATGCTAGTATGAAGTCCATATGTATATATTTTATTTGCACGCACATAACAATCACTATATTGAAGATATAATATGATGTGTATACTGTATAGAAGTAGATATATATTTGATCAAACCTTTTACATATATAAAATATATTTAAAATTCATTAATATCAATTTCAATAAAAACCATAGCATTTTATATAAAATGAGATTTTACAAGCTCATTTTAATTTTGTTTCGGGCATAAATAACTTTCTTAATGTTTCAATTTTCAATTTTAGTTCAATAGTTATTAATTATTATTGATACTGGCTGAAAAACAAGGAATTTTTATTTTCGTTTGTCATGTTGGTAACAAACATATGTCGAGGCGGTATATGGGAGTCATCATTCATATATTTTCCCACAACACCATATCCAATATAAATCACCAATTATCTACTCATTGTACATCGCTTTATACGCCCGCATTCACTAGCTTTCCAGATTTATCATTGGCGTCGGGATTCGTATCGTAACAATGGTTGAATGGTCTATTATAAAAATTATATCTAATACAAATAATAATTATACATACGCTTTCACACCTTTTTTTAAAGAACTTATGAAATGTCCTGGCTTTTTTTTTATTCAGAAAAGAAAATAGTCTAAATCCAATTTGTAATGCCGAATATATTCCGTGTTAATTGGTAAGGTCATTTCTCAGTGCTATTTGACATTAGACGAATAGTACGCTTGCACTAGATTGTTTAAATGCACTTAATTAATGATAAAAATATTTTTTTACTTAAAATACAACAGGACAGTACGTTTTCTAGGATTTATAATTAAACATATATTAAAGATTTTGGAACCAAGCTTGATTATTTAGTATCGCCTTTTTTTTATATACAATAATTTCTAATAAAATAAAGTTAAGAACTTGTTTAGATTGCATTTTAATATTAAAATAGTGGAGTCAGTTATTTGGGTCACTATCTTACAAGTAACAGTGTCAAACTGAATGCAGACAGTTGCGTGTTTTTCATTCTTAAGTCGCTCATGCTCAATATTATGAATGAAAAGCTCGGTATATTGTGTGATAATGCTAATGATGTAAATATATTACGAGTTAAACATATATAATGTGTTTAGTAAATGTTGTCAATATTCCAGTGAGTCTGACGGCGGTGGGTGTGTGCGCATGCGCGGCGCCGCGGCCGGCGAATTGGCGGGAGCGGTCCGTGGGGCGTTGAGGGATCGCGCGCGAACGAGGCTCAGTCGCAGCCAGCCAGAACTGACCTCTGCGTGTCTTAACACAGGTGATATATAACTATCTAATCACTAGCTCACCGAAAGTCTCTATAATTTTGTTTATTATGACGCATTTCTTGAGAAAACATTCGATAAATAAATGAAAATATATCGACTTGAGAATGAAATTACAATATCTATTGAATATTGCATTCCAATGACTAGCCTATTTAAGCTATTGTGTCATGACTCAAGTTTGGGGATTACGACTTGCGTATATTGAACCGCCAAATTAGGATTGATGACATCTATTTGGTTTCCTTCCAAAATTATTAACATTCTAAAAACATTAGAATAATGTATATAATGTTATTTCAGCTGAAATCCGCCGCAGCAGTTGGTACAGCGGGCCTTCGGAAATATCACTAGACGACACAGACCTCATAATGTCCAAGGTAAGTTTTGGTAGTACCGTGTTTCTTCGGCCACAGAAAATGACCATATATTGTATTGTATGATTATGTTTTATATTCCCAGGAGGCTCAACACATTCCGTCAAGCCAACTGTCTCGTTGTAGTGGCGCTGGCGACCTCGCCTCCCGCGCACGAAGACTCCTTAGGACCTCGCCCGATGACAGGTGAGGCCGGGTGAACGATATATGTATATTAACATCCAACAGTCTATTTGAGAGTTGTCAGATAGGTCGTAAAAGCAATTAGCCAAAACTATTACAACGTGTAAGGCAGACCAGCTTTAGCCAGCTAAAGCTGGGAAAATTGCCAGGAAGAAGAAATGGAGTCTATTTGAGAGTTCTTTATGTCATATATTGCATATAAAATCTGTTAGGTCTTATCCCTACTAATATTATAAATGCGAAAGTAGCTTTGTCTATCTGTCTGTTTGTTACGTTTTCACGCCTAAACCATTGAACCGATTTTGATGAATTTTGGTATAGAGATAAATGGAATCTTGCAGAAAGACATAGGCTACCTTTTATCCCAATATCACATGAATGGAACCATGAAATGCAGTTCATATTCAGTATCTGTAGTGGCAGAGACTACAATGTCTACGGACAGAGTTGCAGGCAAAAGCTAGTCCTAAACAAAAATTCTATGTATGCTTATTAGTCTTGTTTTCTATGGAAGTCCATTGTAACGCTCCTAAAACCATGAAATGCAGTTCATATTCAGTATCCGTAGTAGCAGAGACTACGATGTCTACGCGGACGGAGTTGCAGGCATAACTAGTCCTAAACAAGCAATAATTCTTAGTCTCGTTTTCTATGATAGTCCATATTATAGTAAAACTCCTAATATGTTTTATTTTGATTCCAGTGTGAGTTCCCGTTCCCTGGCGTCCTTAACTTCCTTAGTGTCGTGTTCTTCGGGCGTTTATGAAGAGATAGCTGAGGAGGAACACACTTACGAGGCGGTGGGGCTGTACGGAACCGCGCGACGACCGAAGAGACACCCGCCCCCCCTGCCGCCGAGACAACCCTACTGGTTCATTACATACTCATAATTATTGTATACATAATCCTACTGGGTTTAATTAAAAAAAAAATTGATTTATTGGGAAAAAAACAGTATTACAACCAATCAATTGAAATAAGTCATACAAAAATACATAAACCAATTAAGTTTCCACCGATTACAAGTTCATTGAGAGCAAAGAAAAATAAAACATTGGCCAAAATATAACATAACAGATTAAAATTAAAATACAAAAATTGATGACATTGAGCAAAATAATAATATGATCAATGGAAATTAAGACAATTATTAAAAAAAATCCCTATACTGAAACGTTTTTTATTATTATGTCTCCTAATTTATAAATTAAGTATCAAACCTTAAGCAATATAGCTGTTTTTAATATTTTCTATTATAAATTTAATACTTCATATGAGTTTAGTTGTTTCTTATTAATCGTTCTATCTTTCTTCCTCAGTACTTTAAACCGCGGCCAGTCGTGGCGCGAGGCGGAGAAGGTGACCAGACATTCCTCACTCGGCTCACTCACACACAAACAGAGACAACACAAGACATTTAATGTCTTTAGGTGCGTTCGAGTTCAGTGTTAAATAATCAATCTTAAATAATTTATAATAATAATGAAGAAAATATCTTACATCAATCCTATTTATTATAACATCGGCTATCTGACAATGAAAGTCACATTTCAGAAGTTAGCTGGAATGAACGGACTTACAAACATGAAATAAAAAACCTTATGTATATTACTGTATACTATATATGTACGATATAAACCAAATCCATATGAATTTTATTATAAGCAATTATAGTACAGCCACGGGCAAAAGTATTAGGCACCCTACAGTAAGACAAGTTTTAGGGTGTTTTAGCATAGCGAGTGTAAATAAAACTGCATTTATGATTACAATGGTTTATTTTAAGAAAATAATTAATATTTTGTAGGTCCACCTTTTGATTTAATAACCGCAGCCACTCTTTTTGGCATTGACTCTACCAGCTTGAAACATTCTTATCTTGATATATTTTTCCATTCCTGCTGTAACGCGGCCAATAGAGCTTGTTTATTGATAATCGAGTGCCTGCGGATATTTTTCTTTAAAATGGACCAAATATGCTCAATCGGGTTGAGGTCTGGTGATTGTGGTGGCCAGTCCAAAAGATCAATATGATTTTCAGCAAACCACTTCATGGTATGCGCGGACTTGTGGCAAGTGGCGTTGTCTTGCTGAAATTTCAGGCCATCGGTGTTTGTATCACCGAAAATTTGCGTTATCGACGTTGCTAGTGCTGTTTCCAGAACTTCAGTGTATTTAATACTATTCATTCGTCCCTCACACAACACCATTTCGCCCACTCCGTCGGCAGCCATGCAGCCCCAGATCATTATTGAGCCTCCACCATGCTTAACAGTGGGAACCACACATTCTGGGTTGTATTCTTCGCCAACCCTTCGCCTAACATAAGTCACACCGGGTGTTCCAAACACCTATGCCAAACGAAAAAAACACATTTATTTTCAAAGTTATTATTTTTCTTGCAGTACGTTATTTTAAAAACATTTATGTGTTTTAATATTGTACATAAAATAAATAACAATACCTCAAAGTTAGATTCGTCTGACCACAGTATGTTGGACCAATCTTCCACTGACCAATCTCTATGTTTGAGTGCCCACTCCAACCGATTTTTCTTATTGTGTTCTGACAGCCACGGCTTCTTCCTTGCTTTACATCCTTTTAATCCAGCTTTAAGAAGTCTTCTTCTCACAGTATAAACACTCACTGAGCTGCCTTTTGCCTCAGATAATGCTGCAGCGAGCTCTGAAGCAGTTTTTTTCCTGTTTTGTAGAGACTGTCTAATCAACAATTGATCTTCCCGTTCAGTAGTAACTTTTCTTCTGCCTGTTCTTGGTCTATTTTCATTGGTGCCAGTCTCATTGAAGCGATTTATAGCATATTGAACTGCACATCGCGAGCACTTCACTTCTCGGGCTATTTTAACCTGAGACATGCCTTGTTCATGTAAAATCTTAATTCTTAGACGCTGTTCAGCACTAAGTTCAGATTTTTTCGGCATGATTAACACGTTAAATGTTAGTCTTTAGAATTGTGATAGGAATAGTTGCGTAGAAGACGTGTATGTTCACTGCAAGCACTGATAACACACTATAACCCGAAACGCAAAAAAAGCAAATTCGAAGAAACACCGCTTAGGAGCACACCTGGATGTCATAAATATTTTCTTTTATCTTAATTTGGTTAAAAATTGCCGCTAATACAATAGCTAAACCATAAAACAGACACTTGACCGCTATCTAATGAGATAGTGACTAACAATAGGGGTGCCTAATACTTTTGCACGCAGCGTATATATAGAAGAAAGTTGTAAACAATAAAATGATTGAACATATTACAAACGAATATTCCAGAAAAAGACTGAAGAGCGACTCCCGTATAGCGACGTCACCGAAATCAGAGACCAAAGACAAGGACGTGGACACGAAGAAGAAGAAGTTCGACTTCACGCCCACACGAGACATATTCAAGAGCTTCAAGGTGAGCCGCAAGATGAAGAACTTGAAGATAACGTCCGGCCTCGCCAAGGGAGAGACCAAGAGCTGCGAATTCTTGGACGAGGCGACCCACGTGAAAGATAATAGGTGTTCCAAGTCCGTGGAGTGTTTGGAAGACACGTACGAGTTCCTCGACGACTACCGCCCCAACCTGGCGCTGCCTGGAACAGAGGACGCGCTCGCTCTACCGCAGGAGATCCTCGAACTCATACTACGGGGCCCAGACCTCACAGTCAGGTTGAAAGACACTCAGTGTGAGAGCGACTACGTGCCCATGTCGCCCATAGTGCCCATACTGCCCATCGTCCCACCGCCCATGGAACATCACTACATGGTGATGTCGCCCCGCACTAATATAGCTTGAACATACTGAAGACGCTCTTAATGTTAGTTATTGTTGAACAGACACTGCACTTAATGCAACTTATATCAAACAGAATAACTATAAGGAAGCGAATTAGGTTTTGATACTTCGGTGTATGACTTTAAATATGTATTAAGGACAATGTATTTACATTTAAACATTACATGAACATTGTCTTCACATAGTATATTCTGCTATCTGCTTAGCTTTTGTCTCAAGCAATGAGTTCAGTAGGAAATGACTTACCGTAATAAGTCAATGTATAAGAATTTAAAAACAAAGTAATCTGCAAACATTGAAATTACGTCATTAGGGTGATTTAAGCCATTTCATTTGATGTTACAGGGAGATGAGAGTGCTTTAAAATAAGACACAACAAAACAGATGAGCATAGTCAATTTAATTCTATAATAGTAGTATTTTTATATGAAATTATTGACTGAATTATTTTGATGTGACAATGTGTGTAGCAGGTGACATGGGCTGTGGTTATTGTTTAATAACTAGCCCTTAATGTGTGATGGGAGGGAATAGCATTTCTTATCTCAAATATATGAAAGAGATTAGTTAACCATTTTTGATCTGCTTATGTATTCAATTTATCTTACATTATATTTTTTCCTATTATAAGTGGGGTTTTTAAATCAACAAAGTTAAAACAAGTACAATACCAGTTGTGTAAACATTCAAAATTTTTGTGATTTATATAAAAGAGGATTATATTAGGATTATTTATTGAATGAATCTCATTTTTAAAGTTAACTGATTTATTTACTTTGTGTATTAAGTATTCCTTGAACGAATTTAATGAATCCTAAGTCGGCTGTTGCCTGTTGTTGTAGGCAGTTTGTTTGCGCTGATGTGTTGTGATATTCTTATTAGGAAATTGTTACGAGCTTCGAGGCTTTTGTTGATTTTCACGTTTGTTGGCTGAGTATTTGGAGTTATGATGTTTTGGGTTTGTGGGGAGGATAGCTGAATTGTAGCCACTTTTGTAGTTCTTTAAATGATCGCGATCGCGGTAAATAAGTAGTTCGTAAGTACTTAAATGATAGTGTTTATGTATTTAGATTAAAAAGATCTCTTTAGTTTTTTTCTTTAAATATTTATTGTAGTCAATAATTCTTTGATATCGGATCGCCCTTGTTTAGATCCGTTGGTTGTAGAATGCTTCACTGCCACCGTTTTTCGTGTATGCTTTCACCAGGCTGATTATTTTCCGTCGCAATATTTACAGTTGCGATACACATAGTCCACAAGATAAATATTCTAATTACCGGCTTACTGTTTTACAGTATAAATAAGGAAATATTAGATTATATCAGAATTGTCAATGAAACAAACGTCCAGTTTATATGTATCCTTGCTTTGAACGACGATCGGGTCGAGTCGTGTGACTGTGATGAGTTGACGGACCAAATATATATTAGCTAACTATGTGTCTTATTTAACAGAGGACATCGAGTTAAATAAAGTTTGTATGTGGATACATTGTTTTATTAAGCACACATTACGTCCCAATATTACAAATGTTTGTTCGACAATTATGTTGATTCAAAACCGACACACAATTTTAGCGTTTAACTTAACAATATACATAGCTTGTGATTTTGTATCCTAACAGATTTTTTCGAGCTATTTTTCAAACTCACATTATTTTCCTCGCCAAGTCCATTCTCATAATTTTACTTCAACTATATTATCTTTTCATCTTTCTTAGTAAGTACGTCACAAGTGTTTATATTTGATTCAAAAATAATATGTCACCATTTCATTTATTCAGTTTATTTCCCTGATTATGGTTTCGTGAATTTCGCCAGCTACAGAAATTCGATCAGTAGTATATTATTCAAATGCTTTATCGTCATAAGATTAAGCATGACTTTATTTGTATATCAAGCTTAGGCCATTATTTTAGTCAGGTCTACCAATTTTCCGGTAACAATTGAAACAAGTTGAATTGGTTCTATCTAAAGCTTTGGTGTATGGTATCCGTTGTCAAGACTTTGTGTTTGAACTAAATTGTGTTCTGAAATATTTTATATTCTTTGACAATCCTTTACCTCTACCATAAAAAGCATATTTATAAAAATTATCCCAAGACTATAAGTTCTACCCTACTTTATATACAATTATTATTTAGTTTAATAGCTTTTATGGAAAATAAAGTTGACCAAACTTGACCATAAATTCATAATATACATCAATATTCAATACACTTTGTTTTCTCATTATATAACACTGATTATAAAAGCAAAGCAAACCAAACATATATGTCGCGCCGGGAGATTCATCATACCAAGAAAAGAAGCCTTTCCGCGAATTCGTTTAAGTTTTAATAATTGTTCTAAGAAACCATTGTAAATGTTTTCAAATTACCCACTTCATCAATGTAAATAGTCTTAACAAAATATCAGGTGATTATTTTTGTTCAAGTACCTACAATTGTAAAACAGAATCTACCATATAAAAGGCCGAGCATAATCATACTGAATTAATTCTACATTGGTCGCTCTTAGGGGTCACTCTGGTAGAATCTCTGCTAAACAATTCTTGAGTCATTGTGGGAATTTGTTAAGCAATAAACGAGTAACATTATAAGTAAAGACCCTCTTTTCTTTAAAATGGAAACCCGTGCTACGTCGCCGATATACTAAACGCCCGGACCCGAAAGCCTTTCAAGGTACTAGGCTCTTGGTCTCTTCCACGAGGATCCCCTCGCTCTCACATCAGAAGCGAGGACGTCTCACGCTTCACATTCAACCGCCGGATCGTCTACATGAAATCGCCTGGCTCGACATACAACTCTGCACGAGTTATTGGAAATGCAGGTGACAAAAGTTAAGTACTCTCACCGTATCTATAATAATTTCTGTGGCTGCTATTACTAATCCAAAACGGACCTCCCGTTTCAAAACAACCTCCCGTTTCCCTTCAAACAAAGACCTTTCGATTAGGTCTAGCTCATTTTGTAATAGATCCGAAACAATGTCAGTCCTAAGGAGATTGCTATTTCTACAATAATGCTAATTGTAAATATGTACTCGTATCGTACGAGGTGACAATGAAGCCCATTTGTACATACTGTTCTAAAAATTAGAACACGCTTTAGATAAAGGTGTCTAAAAACTAAATATAGTGTTAGAAATAATTATTTATAAAGATTTAAATATTTATCTACTCCACAAAGCCTTAAAATTTTATAAAATCACCTATGTATTTCCAGAATCATTAACAAAGAAAAACTATTGAACGGTCTTGCAGGGTGTATTACAAAAATTCATTTCAAATTTTTCTAGTGTTCACGACACCTCTTTAGCTTTAACCAAAGGTGAAAATTGAAACTCAGGTCACAAGATGGCTTGTAAAATCATAATAAACTTCTGAACGGCTGTGCCTGTTCTCTCCATACTTAAATAAAACGATCCTATAGAACTATATACTTAACAGGCAAGAGAGGGGCGTTCGTCTGGATTCATCTGTAATTAACAAATACGGCTTCTATTTCACACTAATTTATTAGGTCACGGTTATACAATTATCAACTCTAAATAATCAGACCACGCGGATGCAAATGGATTAACCCTAGGAACGTGGTGAAGTCGGTACCACGTCTTTACGTCGACTTAACGTTCCTTTATTTCTAACCTCCAACCTACTAATACTGATCTCTTGGTTACGAGGCAGTACTAAGTAATGTTGAAAATAGTTACCATTTACAGGAATTTTAAACTCTTTAAAGAACTTCTATGGTAAGAAATTCTAACAGTCTCTAACTCTTCGAAAAGATCTAAGTACGAAGTAGATTTTCTTTCATGTATTTACCTCTGATATGTTTTTCTTAAAAAATTTGATTTATGTGTTGAATATAGGTAACGTCTTAGATTACAGATTGCTAACTTCTTTATTTCGAATCCTATTAATTTCAAAGAATGACATGTCGGATTGAGGAAAATATTCTTTAAAATAAACGAATCCTATTGGTTAAAAAGAAAATAAGTCTTATTCGCACTTCTATAAATAGATTGTCTAATCCATATTTTATCAGTTTCAGAACAATTCCGGTTGCATCCCATATACTCGTACAACACTCATCACCGTTTGAAGTTATCTAAATGTCCGTTGCTGGTAAACTACAGACTAATAACAGGAACACATAATCCTAAATATAATCATGTCATGTCTATGTCAAATATATTCTAAGAGCTAGCAACATTTTTGAACAAGAATTTCAGGTAGGCTAGTTTTTAGATATGCTATCTCTCACACTCTCCTGGACGTCATACGGCTGCCGGTAGTGGTTACGTTCCTAAGTGCGCATCGTACTTGTGCAGGTAAACAAATTATTATTTCAAATCATTTTAAGAAGGTTTTTTTTTATTATTATTATTTTTATTGAACTATTCACAACATAAATTTATTATTACCCGATATTTTTATTGTTGTTTAAACGGTGCCAATCGGCAATGTTGAATTGAATAGCATGCTATTTAACTATCTAAAGGCTCAGAATTAATTTGCCAGATAAAAAATCGGTTGTTAAACCTTTTGCCAGATCGAAATAAAGTGTAAAGAGATGTAGTATCATTTAGCTTGGTCTAGAAAATTAATCGTCTAATAAATGATTGAAGAAGAATTAAAAACTATTGAATTTATTTATAGATGAATACGGTATAAAAATAATACTTTATTGTTGTACAAAATTGAGATAATAAATAAATAGATAAATACGTGTTACTATATTGTGCATAGACAAAAGCCACTATAGTATTTTGGCAACTTTAGAACAAGTGATGCATTTACTTGGTTGTTTCGATACACCAAAAGAAATAATCGTTGAGGAGGTAGTAAGTTGATAGGAGTGAATAAAACTTTATGTCATAGTTTTGGAATTAATATTTTTGCCGTATAGTCAGGTATTAGCCGAGCAAATGGGGATCGGAACAGGCTGCGCTTTCAACCACTGGCCTCTACAGCCCAGTTTCCATCAGCCACGACGG